TTAAGTGATAAGGATTTAGAACAGTCATAGTGAATACAGGAACTAGAAGAGATGGGGGCCCAGCTGTGGCTCTGCACTGTAAATCTGTGGAGTCCTCAACAGTAGGTACCACAGACAATGTTTATTTAAAGAGCAAGTGCAAGGAGGTCTTTGCTGGAAGTGAGACCTAAACTCTGGCCCTACCTGTCACTGAACAACTGGATAGCTTTGATAAGTTGTGTATCATCTTGAAGGGGTTGTAGTATAAGTTTTTTTGTTGATCAAAACAAAAACACTGACGACCATTCCACTATTTTCTGAAACACATTGTTTACTATGGTTTGTTCCCAAAAGGTTCACGTTGGAGGCGTGGTCCTCAGTGTGATGGTGTTGAGTAGTGAATCTTCAACAGGTAGGGAAGTAGGAAGTTCTCAGGTGACTGGGCTCGGTACTTGGAAGAAATTAAGGCTATTTTCATGGGACCCACTTTAGTTCTCAGAGAGGGTTGTTATAAGAACAAGCCTCTGGCTTCCTGTCTGGAAACTGTGATGCCATGCACCAGCCTCAAGTAGATGCTGGTAAATGCTCTTGAGCTTCCTGAACCATAAGCAAAGTAAGCCTCTTTCTTTGTAAAGCAACCCAGTCTCATGTATTTTGTTATAGCGATGAGAAATCAATAGTCATATTTTCCAAATATACTTTTGAACTAGTTATACATACACATCATTCCACCCAAATTATATGACTGGTGGAAAGATCTGTCAAAACACAGGTGTAAAAACTCTAATACAGATTCCTGGTTGGATATTTCTTTACACATCTATCCTCAGAAAATGAAAATATCTTGAAAAGTCCATATTTTGGATTTCCTATCTTCAGGGAAGTTAATGTCTTTCTTAAATGTCAAAAAAAGGACCACCTTTTACGTTCTTAATTTTTATACAGTTGACCCTGTATCCATAGGAGATTGGTTCTAGGAGCTCCTGCAGATTGCAAAATCTTCAGATGCTCAAGTCCCTTTAAAAAATGGCATAGGATTTGTATATATCTATTCATATCCTCATTTATGTATTTGCAGTGCTGGGGTTTGAACTCAAGGTTTTCCCGTTTGTTAGGCAGGTGCTCTACCGCTTGAGCCATGCCAAGCTTATTTGGTTTTTTGTGACAAGAGGCCATCTTCCTGCTTTAGCCTCCTGAATGCTAGATTACAGGCCTGAGACACCAGGTCCAGCTCATTTATGTAATTTTGAGACAGCCTCTTGCTGTGTTGCCCAGGCTGGTCTCAAAGTGATCCTCCTGCCTCAGCCTCCCCAATACCTGGACTTTAGGTGGGAATCACTTAAATTATCTTTAGAATATTTATATTAGTGATGCAATGTTAACGCTGGGTAAATAGTTGTAACTGTTCAGGGCATAACGACAAGAAAACGTCTGTACACCTTCAGTATAACACAATTTTTTTTCCTGAACATTTTCAATCCACGGTTAGTTGAATCGCAGATACAGGTGTGCAGCCCAGTCCCTATCAAACCTTTCTTCACAAGGTGTCTGCAGACTGGCTTCAGGGCTATGTGAGCGAAACTCTCTTTCTACACGCACGCATGCGCAACCCTCTGGAAGGTTAAGAGCGGCCGTTCTAATGTCCCTTTTCTGAAAAGCTTCCCGATTGGTTAATAACGCAATAACGTCCCCAGCGTCTTCGGGTTAATTCTCTAGCCCTCAGACAAGGCGCGCTGGCCACCACTGGGTCGCCGCTACAGCTTAACTTATTATACGGGGCTTGGGGGTGCAGTGCTCAGGTTAAGCGTTGACCTGAGTCCTGACCGTGGCCCCTGCGCGTGGACTTCACCTTCGCCGACGCTCACAAGCCCTGGAGCTGCGGCGCCGGACGCGGAAGCCCAACAGGTTCCGCACAATTGCGGGGATCCGTTTCCAACCACGATGGCGGAGGCCGGGGGAGAGGGGGTCTGCACGATCCCTCAGGGCTCTCGACTCCCAGGCCTGCAGGGACCGCTACCAGTCGCCGAGCTGCGGCGAAGTCAGCAGGGCCGCCTGGGAAGAAGCGTCCCCGGAAGCTGGTGGCGGGCGCCAGGCCACCTGCGCCTCTCCATGCCTCACCCGCTCCCGTCTTCGAGACGCCGCCTGCCTCGGCCCCGCTACGGAACACACGACCCTTCTCCCCTGAGCTTGCGAAGCCCCAGCCTGCTGGCGCCTCTATTGCGATTCGCAAGCAAACCGCCTCAAAACGCTGACAGTGGCCAACACGTGACCAACGTGCCCACACTGCGGCCGCCGACGCCAGCTCCGCAAGCAGGGCCGGTGCGGCGTGTACGCATGCGTCAGATGGGGAGCGCTGCCGGACGGCCGTTTCCAAGGAGATCTGCGCATGCGCTGCGTGACGCACAAGGCCCGCGGCAGGAGGTGGGGCTGCCCGAGGCTCCGCCACGCTTGCGCAGTACCAGGACGCGGGCGTTTCTTTCCTCCCTTTTTTTTTTTTTTTTCAAATTGGTTTTGAGGGTAGATTCGAGTTACAAAATGGCGGTCCGGAGTGCGCTCGTCGCCGTTCACCCAGCGCTCTCAGGCTAGACGAACGTCCCTCCTTCTCAGTGCCGGACGCGGGGGGACATGGTGTTTGAGACTCTGGGTTTGCTGACCACAAAGTCCCTCGAGGCGCTCAGTACACCGGAAGCGCCCGACCGCCGCCTCGGCCCCGCACGCGGACATCGCCGCCTCGGCCCTACTCGCTGCGGCGCCCACAGTCCAGCGAGAGCCGCGGCGGCCTGCCAGGAGGTGAGGGGCGGGGGGCTGTTTGTGAAGCCGGCGGGCTCCGGGCTCTCGGGGCGCGGGCCCTGCGGCCCCCGCGGAGGTAGGAGGCGGGCCGGCCCGGGGCTGCTCGGCTTCCGCCTTTGGCGCCTTCTCCCGCGCTGCTGTGCCCGGCGGGCGCCCTCTGTCCTCCCCTTCCCCGCGCGCTGCCTCTCGCTGCGCCCCCCGGCCGCCGAGTGCTGGTTGCGCTAAGCAGTTTTGAGGTCGGGGTGTGCCGGGCGCTTTTGTCGCCCTGATCGGCCGCCTGGCTCTCCTGCGTCGCGCCTCCCTACCGAGGACAGCTGAGTCCACGCTTCCAGCTGAAGCCCACGGGCAGGGACCGCACCCGCGTGGCCGAGGCCGCGATCATTCGGTAGTACTGACTTTTCCTCCGTTCTGCCTGCACGTTCGGCTCTGCACACGCAGGACCTTTTCACACAAGCGCAGACATCTTGCAGACCCTCCAGGGCCGGGGGTCCAAGGCCCAGGTTCCATCCTCGGCACCGGAAAGAATGGGTGGGGGGGGTCTTCGTAATGATAACAGCACGTAAGGAACTCCATTGCCAGGCCTCGTGCCAAGTGCTCTCCAGAGATGTGTTTTTCCCTCCTTTGAAAAAAAATCAATCCAAAGTGTCATGCTTTGGAGTAAGATACGGTTTTTAGTCTGGCTAGTGATTCAAGTTACTTTTTTCACACTACAGCTTTCAAGTTTGGAGGAGAAATAATGTTTTTTATACCTTTTGCTTCTAGCAAAACTTGGCTCCTGAATAGTATTTATAAAGCCGTTTCTCTGTTCCAGGCACTGGTCTGAACTAAGCTTTTTATTTAGCTCGAATTTCGTAACACTGCCTCATCTAACAGACAGGTGCGAAAACTAAAACACTTGAGCCAGGCTCGGTGGTGCACTTCTGTAAGCCCAGCATCTTGGAGGCTAAGGCAGGAGGATTCCAAGTTTGAGGCCACCCTGGGCTACATAGTGAGTTCAAGGCAACTTGGCTACATAAGGAGACCCTGTCTCAAAAAAAAAAAAAGAGGAGAACACTCACAGCCAAGCTCTGTTGGTTCTAGTTTTTTGCTTCTTTCCCTTTGCTGATGCCTGGCTTGTTTTGTTGTTGCTTTTTTAACAGTAAAGGATATATTAGTATCTGAAAATTTTAAGAGATGAACACAGCACCCTGTTTGGATAGGTAATTGAGTCTACTTTAGAGATCCTGGTCCCCCAACTCTTGCCCCTGCCCCTAATACTTTGGTCTTAGAAGAGTCAAGCTGAGGGTGTAGTTTTGAAGTACTTTCCGTTTTCCAGATGCTAACACATCCATGTTAACAGTATTTTGAAGTTACAAGTAATGTCTTAGCTTTGTGCAGTGTACAGTTCAGACAATTAAATGTTTAATCCTGGGAAACATTACCAAATGTAACTTAAAGAAAAGTATTCATGTTGCAAGTTTTTCCAGTGTCTTATTACAACTCTTACCTAAGGATAAACTTACAGGTCATCTTTGAGAGAATTTTAAATATTAAAAATGTTTTGCTTGTGGCAAGACTAAGTATAATTTATAAAGAATAAGTTAGCTAATGGGTGAGCAGAGTAGTTCAAGTGGTAAAGCGCCTGCCCAGATCCTGAATTCAAACCCTTGCAACTGCCAAAAAAAAAAGAAGTTGGAAAGTTTGCTGGGTGCCAGTGGCTCACACCTGTAATCCCAGCTACTCAGGAGGATTTTGGTTCAAAGCCAGCCTGGGCAAACAGTTTTGTATCTCAAAAAAAAAAAAAAAAAAAAAGCACCACAAAAGAGCCTGACAGGGTGGCTTGAGCAGAAAGCACACCTGCCTAGTAAGTGTGAGGCCTTGAGTTCAAATCCTTATGTCACCAACCCCCCCCCCCCAAATTTTTTTAAGTACTTGTTGCTTATATACATAGTATAGTAAAAAGAGTCTAGGTTTTTCAAAATCAGTAGATGTTTCATTTTAACCTTTCCAGGTGCACTTGGCTTAGTGTTGTTCTGAAAGTGTGCTAGTGTTCTTTAGCCTTGCAACACCTTGTAAAGTTCTCATTGCAGCAGTTGCCGCTGGCATCAGAGATGTTTTTTATATTTCACACTGGGGTGAATTTAAAGAATTCTTCCGAAGAGCTATATCTTGGTCTAGAAAAGTAAAGTTTTACTCCTGTTTTTTGTAATGTAGGTTCGAAAAAATGGCCAAAAGAATTGCCGAGAAGGAATTGACAGATAGGAATTGGGATCAAGAAGACGAAACTGAAGAGGTAAAAAAGCAGTTTCTCTAAGAATATTAAATTTGTGTTGGAATTCCTCATGAAGACTTATTAAGAACATCCTGAATGGTTCCTTATGATTGCTGTGCTTTCAACATAAAAATTTACTCATTTGTGTTGCTTTCCCACCAGTGTCTGTTTCTGAAATATTCTCGTTTGAAAAAGCATCTTCCTTCAGAATTTGACATACTTGCAACATTCTAAACCCATGGTTTTGAGTACCTTTAGTTATGACTGAAGAATGAGTTGTCTAGTCGTGAACTCTGCGCAGTGTCAGCACTCAGATGTGAAAAGTGGTAAAAGCAGATGTTAGTCTGCTATCCCATGATTTTGGGTTTCAGGAGGTCGAAGTCATCTCACTCTGACACCTCTCCAGCACTTTGATTTGCTATTCCCATGGTAGGTCTGAACCCCCAGCACTGCATTAGTAGGGATAGAATTCGGATTGATGTAGTTTCTTTCCTAGCAAAACAACAGTGGTCTTCCCTGAGGAAAGCTTACCATTTTGCTCATTTTCATAATAAGAATAGAACACAAGCTGGACACGGTGGCAAACGCCTCTAATCCCAGCACTCGAGGTTGAGGCAGGAGGATTACAAGTTCGAGGCTAGCCTGGAGCTACATAGCAAGACCCTATCTTTAAAAAAGATAGGAATCTGTAAAACCTACTCTTAGACTGGTATCTTCTTTCTGAATCTTCATAGCACTCCCATCTTTCCCTTTGCAAGTGTATGTACTCTAATATGTGTAGGGGAACAAAATCACATGGCCGTTAACTTATACATTCTGGGCTATAATAAAACGTAGACCACCATGTGACGACTTGCTTTGACATTAAAATGTCCAGGAATGAAAGAAATGTTTGGGCAAATTGTACTGAAGTGAGTATGGAGGACCACATTTAATTAATTACAGTTATTTGGGGCAAATACAGTCAGATGGTCCCTCATATGAGTTAAGGATTCTTTTAATAATAACATGATCTGGAATGACAGTAGAGAATTTTTGTATGGGAAATATTTTGTTTCAGAGTTGAAGTAAAGCCAAAGATCTTGAGTAAATTTCTGATTGTGGACACGGTACTTTGGCAGATGGTGGAAGAGCTGTTAGAGTCCTAGATGCCTCCATTTCCTTTTGGATAGCTGCAGAGTTGGGCAGAGCTCCTCTTAAAAATAGTGTGACTGGTGGCTGGGGGATGGCTTAGTAGAGCACTTAGCTTGTGCAAGGGCTTGTGCAAAAAAGAAAACAAATGTGTTGTAAATAGAAGTATCATTTTTGAGAACTGCAGTACTAAGACTAGATTGAGGCACTTGCCTTTCAGAGTGGGCTCCACTGTCAACTATTCGTGATCTTGAAAGTTCCTTCCAGCCTAAAACTATGTTGTCCGGGCAGGCCTTGAACTCACAATTCTCCTGCCTCAGCCTCTGAAGAGCTGGGATTACAGCTGTATACCATCGTGCCTGACTACCTTCCAGCTTTTAAATGATAGCTTGTATTTCTTGAAAACTGAAATTTCATTGTAAACTTCATCAGTAACATCTTAGAATGTATATCCAAACTATTTGAAGAACCTGCAGTGAATACTTTTGCACCAAATTTTGATGATCTTAATCTTCTTAGAACTATTGTGTATACACTTCTCTCTGGATTGGGATTTTGTAGATTCTGGAAGATTCATGATTTGCCTCACTAGAATTGGAATCCACAAGAATCTGTAGGTAATAGACATAGGCTATTTTTTAACGTGCACAATCCATGCTTTGTTTTACCAGTATTAACAGTATTTTTATGACATTAGATATTAGATCATTTATCTATTCCTGCTTTTTGTTCAGCTTTTGATCTTCCTTTCAGCCTGTTTTTCTGCTGTTTAATTTGTATGCTCTTGCAGGTGGGGACATTCTCAGTGGCCAGTGAGGAAGTCTTGAAGAACAGAGCCATAAAGAAAGCAAAGCGTAGAAATGTTGGATTTGAAGTGAGTGCTTTCTTACAGCTTTTGGTGTTAAGTGATAATCTGGTCTCTGAGTTGCAGAGCATTTTCCTCTTCGAGGAGAGTAACCATAGCAACAATGTTTTTTAAAAATGCATATTCCTTGGTATAGATCATAGGAGATAAAAGAAGTAATGTGAGGTCTGTGCCTCACAGAGCATTTGTACAGTTGAGGAAATAAGAAAAACATTGACAAATGCAGGCTGAGTCACAGTATGAAGAGGAAACCTCAGTGTAGCAGTACAAAAGGTGGGGTAATGAGCATTCAGCATCACTGCACGTTTAAGAGCTCTCCCTTGGTGTGGTCTTCGCCTCTCACGGAGATACTCCAGACCTGCGGTGTGGGCTTAGTGGCCTGGGCCTCTGGAGTAAGGCAGAAGTAGCTTCTTTGAACATCCAGGGTGGCGGCTTAGGAATAAACCTGCTCAGTGGTACATTTTGCAGTGTTCAAGCCTTTTGTTTTTCAACAAAGAACATGGGCTAAGCATGGTAGCTGATGCCTGTAATCTCAGCAACTTGAGAGGTAAAGATCAGGAGGATCACTATTTAAGGCCACTGTTAGCAAAGTTAGCGATAACCCATCCCAGACAGTAGGCTGGGTGTGGTGGTGCGGGCCTGCGATCCTGTAGGTAGGGAGATTATGGTCTGAGGCTGGCCCTGGGCAAAAATGCAAGACCCTTCCTGAAATATAACTAAAGCAAATTAAAAAAAAAAAAGCTAGAGGTGTAGTTAGGGTGGTAGAATGTCTGATTAGCTAGTGTGAGGTCCTGAATTCAAACCCTGGTACTGCCGAGAGGGGGAGAAAATGAACGGTTTCATCTCCCTTTCTTTGTCAGATAAGGACAGTAAAGGTGTAGCAGTTTTCACACTCTGAGAAATAATGAAGAGTCATTGTCATGAAAATATTATCTGGGCATGGTGGCCCGCACTTGTCGTTTGTTACCTGGGAGGCTGAGGAAGGATCACCTGAGCCCAGAGTTCCAGGCCACCCGGGCAACACAGACCACTGCATGTGTCTCTATTGTATCATCACCTTGGTCCTTCCCGGCTCACGTGTGTGTGCGTGCACACTGTAAAAATTTTAAAGTGGTTTGTTGTTTGCCACTACTGGAATTTGAACTCAGGACCTGGCACCAACTTGAGCCATACCGCTAACCCTTTGTGCACTGGTTATTTTTGAGATAAGGTCTCACTTTTTGCTGGGGCCGGCTTGAACCATATTCTGTTTTAAGCTTCCCACTGTAGCTGGGATGACAGGCATGCCATTGTACCCAGCCTGTTGGTTGAGATGGGGCCTCGTGAACTCCCTGCCCAGGCTGGGCTTGACCTTGATCCTCCTAATGTCAACCTCCTAAATAGCTGGGGTCACAGGTGTGAGCACCGGCGCCCAGCTAATCATGACTTATTTTTTTAAGTTTGAAAACATGTAAAGAAAGGAAGAAAGAAGGGTAGATGGAGGATCTGGAGTTGGCAGTCAGTAAGAAGTTCACAACTAGAGTTAATAGCTTAGTCACTCAGAGCATCTCATTAATAGTATGGGAAAGCTGTCCATGTTACAAAATAAAATTTATTTAAATATATGTATAATTCAAAGCAGAAAAGCACAATCATAGCAAGTCAGTTATACTGTGGTTCTGGGAAGTCACTTGTCCATATGTAGAATATAGTGGTTTATAAAAATGCACATTCATTCTCTGCTTCCTCCCTACTTGAGAGTAACATCTCTTGGAGCTATAGAAGCTCTTCCAGCTGGGTGAAGTGGCTCACGATTGTAATTTTAACTACCCAGGAGGCAGAGATCAGAAGGATCAAGGTTTGATGCCAGCCCTGGGCAAACAGTTTGTGAGACACTATCTCAAAAATACACAACACAATGAAAGGGCTAGTGGAATGGCTTAAGTGGTAGAGTACCTGCCTAGCAAGCGTGTTTGAACCCAGAGTTCAAACCCTAATAACACACACACACACACACACACACACACACACACAAATTCCACGTGGAACCTCAGGTTTTCTGGCGTAGCGTTGTCAAGAAAGAAGGCGCTTTAGGTGTCTTTAGTGAAAACAGGGTAGGCACGTTTTTCTCAGAATTGTATCTACAGAGTAGGACTTCTGTAGTTTTGTTTGTTTGTTTGTGGTACTGGGACTTGAACTCAGGGCCTTCACCTTGAGCCACTCCACCAGCCCTTTCTTGTGAAGGGTTTTTTTCGAGATAGGGTCTCCCAAGCTATTTATTTGCCTGGGCTGGCTTCAAATCTCAATCCTCCTGATCTCTGCCTCCTGAGTAGCTAAGATGACAGGCATGAACAAGCCACTTGCACCCAGCAAGACTTCTGTTTTTAGCATAAGGTTTTGCTTTGAGATTCTTTTTTAAACTGAAAAATAGAAGTTGATAAACTTAAATTTTTGAGATAGTATACATTGTGGAATAGCCAAATGGAGCTAATTATCACGCATCACTCATTTGCTTTGTAGTATGAGTACTTAAGATATCTCAGCTGTGGATTTCAAGTACAGTACACTATCGTTAACTGTAATTAGCACATTGTACAACAGGTGTCTCAAACTTCCATTTTGTTATTTCTTTTATAGTTCCTATTTACTTATTTTGTAGTACCAGGGTTTGCGTTTAGAACTTAAGCCACACACACAGCCCTTTTTTGCTTTATTTTTCAGGTAGGGTCTTGGGGTTTTGCCTGGGACTGATCTTGAACCACAATCCTCCTACCTAAGGCCACTGTCGCTGGAATTACAGCCGTGAACCACCACACAGTTTATTGTTTGGGATGGGGTCTCAACAACTCTTTTCCTGGGCTGGCCTTGAACTTTGACTCTCCTGAGCTCCATTTTCCAAGTAGCTGGGAATACAGATAGTACCCACCATACCTGGTCTTTTTTTTCCTTATCTGATTTCATTTATCAGCTTAAGATTGATGACTAATTGGTAAATGTAACTATGGAGCTGAGTAATGTTTGATGCTTTTTCACTGAAAAGATATAAGAGGGGAGGGAACAACTTTAATTGAGGATTTATTTAATTTGGAAATATATTTGATATAGAACAGGAATTGGGGTGGGTGAGAGGTGGTACAAATCTGGGAGTTCTCGCCTTTCGGGGTATGGATGCCATGGGAGCAGAGGAAAAGGACTCTGCAATAGAAACTCAGGGTAAGGACTTAGAGGCAACAGCTCAGAGTAAAATGAGAAGCCAGGCCTGGGAAGATGGACTGTGTCACAGAGGATAGATGCTCTAGCTGCTTGGTGAGGGTGGAGAAGGAGAGAGTAGACTAGGCCTGGAGAGTGGAAGCAGGAGCCCTTGGGTTATTAAACTATGGGCTAGCACAGTGGGGAAGGCCCTCTAGGCAAGACCTTGTTAAAGTTTAAGGAAGCAGCTGGAAAAATGGAAATACAATGTTGCAGAGTTTCCACAGCTTCAGTATCCAAATGGTCTTTGAAAAAGTACATGAAAAATCTATTTGGAGTTGAGTTGCATCCAGAATGTTTTCAATATTGAAACTGTTCCAGGATTGGGGGGGAGGAGGATAAAGGAGAATGATAGAGGAGTGAATTCAACTGTGCTGTATTGTAAGAACTTCTATAAATGTTACCATGTACTTCCAGTACAACAATAATAAAATAAGTAAATAAAAGAATGTTTTCAGTTATTTGGAGGCTGAGCAGTAAGTATACATATTTCTTGCATTAGTTTGTTACCTTTAATATGTAATGTTTTCGGTATACATAGTGCATTTTTAAAAGTATGCTTAGCCATAAATGACCTTCCTGCCTATCTCAGGGAGGCAGCTTGGAGTTGCAGAGCTGTCCTTGGAGCGTCATCTTTCTGTCATTCCCACTTTGACTGGTGCCAGCAGTTTCCCCTGCCATGCTGAGCACAGCTGGAGGCTGGGTGCTGGGGCTGAGGCACTACTGTCGCTTATTTGAAGATGGAAAGTATGCCTGTTAACATGCGCTCTGTCTTTCATGTTTCAGTCTGATAGCGGAGGGGCCTTTAAAGGTTTTAAAGGTTTGGTTGTGCCTTCTGGAGGAGGAGGGTTTTCTGGATTTGGTAGTGGCCCTGGAGTGAAGCCTCTGGAAGGACTGTCAAATGGGAACAGCATAGCCAGTACTCCACCTTTCACCAGTGCAAGGGCAACAGCAGAGCCCAAGGCCGCCTTTGGTGAGTATGCATCCTACCCCAGCCACCTCTGGGTAAGTTAAAACTCTGAAAGTTTACTCTACAAAGGAATTTTTAACCTTGGGTCCTAGGATTATGAAAGCAAAAAATAGTAATAATGGAAGGGATGAACTTGGAGAAGACTTGGACTAGTTACAGAACAGGTAGATAGAATACAAGGTTTGGAGCCAGAAAGATGTGGGTTCTGATCTCAGCTCTGCCACTTACCAGCTCTGTGACATGGTAAAGTTCCTTAACCTTTGAGCCTTTTGTACTCAACTATAGAAGGAGAATGACGCTCAGAATTGACCTAAAGGTCAAAGGTGAAAAGGAACCACTTTGTAGATTCTGGGAAGGCTTGCCTCCCTGCCATTCACTCATTATATGTCTAGCAAAGGCTTTCTGTGAACTTCCTACCACAGTGGCCACTGGGAACTCAAATGATACTGTTTGTGATCAGAGCCCTCCCAGGCTGGGTCTGAACAGGAAGTGTTCAATCCTGTTTTACAAGTTAGTCAAGAACTCTTAGAATTCACATAGAAAACAGGATCTAAGAAATGATCTTGAATGATTGGATTGCATTTAGTTAATTATTCTGAAACTGTATACTGTTTGATACTTATTAAGGCAGTGTACTAAGCAGTTTCAGTTAAAGTTTGACTTTGGGGGTTGAGTTTTATGCTAACCTAATATTCTGACAGTTCTGTTTGAAATAAACACCCTTTTGAAGGAAATGAGCTATTTTAAAAATGTACAGGCTTAACACCTACCTAGTAAGCACAAAGCCCTGAGTACAAACTCCAGTACCATAAATGAAAGAAAAAAACAAAACAAAACAGGGCTTACCATGAGCATATAACGGATACTATGCTTTATGATAATCAGCTTTATTGATAATCATTTGAACTGTAACAAAAAACAGTATACAATAAAATAACAAAATGAAGACTGGTATAAAAATTAAAATAGTGTAGTAGTCAAATCAACTTGTAAATAAGTTGTTCAAACTTTTAATTTCTTATAGGGTCTTTGGCTGCAAATGGCCCTACTGCTTTGGCGGATAAAAAGATTTCAAATCCCAAGACGAATGGCGGTGGTCAGCAGCCCTCCTCCTCTGGCCTGGCCACTGGTACAGCCTGCCCCAGCAGTGCTTATCACAGGCACTTGGCTGCCCTGAACTGCTCTGTGCGGGACTGGATAGTGAAGCATGTGAACACAAATCCGCTCTGTGACCTCACGCCCATCTTCAAAGACTATGAGAAATACCTGGCATCCATTGAGCAGCAGCGTGAGGACAGTGGTGGCGCTAACTCTGAAAGTGGGACTGACAGGATGTCAGTTGGAACACAGCCTCCTTCGCTATTCAGTTCAACAAAACTACAGCAAGAGGCAACATTTTTGTTTCATGGCAGTAAAACTGAGGACACATCTGAAAAGAAGATGGAGATTGGGTCCGAAAAGAAAGTGGAACCAGCACAAGGAGCAACAAGTGCCTCATTTAATTTCGGCAAGAAAGTCGATAGCTCGGTTTTGGGCTCAGTAAGCTCTGGTTCCCTGACTGGATTTTCATTTTCCCCTGGAAATTCCAGTGTATTTGGTACAGATACTACCCAGAGTAAAGCAGGCTCCCCTCCACTCTCTGCCTGCACATTAGAGAGCCAAGCAGAAGGCGGCAGTAATAACTACAAAGGTAAGTGTGAAGCTGATAGTTGTGTTGCATTTGTGTAAGCTCTGCGTTTACTGGGAAAAGCGTAGGCTTTGGTTGGGGTGGAGCCGAGTTGTTCACATTGTGACTGTTTGCTATATGTGTTTTACTGAACAAAATTGATCACTCCTTATTTGTAAAATGGAGTATGACTTACTTTGTAGGGTTGTTACAGGATTAAAAATATAAAATGGGGTTGTGGAGGTATAATTCAGTAAGTAGTAGACAACTTGCCTAGTATGTGTGAGGTCTAGTACCGCATCCCTCCCCTCCAAAAAAAACACACAACATACATACACACCTATAAAATATATAAAAATGTCCAGTTCAGCTGGTACTGGTGGCTCACACCTGTAATTCTAGCTACTTGGGAGGGTGTGATCAGGAGGATTGTGGTTCGAGGCCAGCCCAGACAAATAATTCAAGAGACCCCATCTTCAAAATAACCAAAGCAAAATGGACTAGAGTTGTGGGTCAAACAGTAGAGCACCTGCTTTGCAAGTGTGAAGCCCTGAGTTCAAACCCCAGCCTCAACAAAAAAAAAAGTATGTATATATATATCTCTATATATAGATATAGATATAGATATAGATATATAGATATATATGTATATATATTTGTAGTCTAGTGACTTTGAAAAGTACCAAACCGGGACTGCATATAAAGGCAGCCAGTAACATTTTTTGAAACTGCTTTATTGAAAAAGTTCAGCGTGACTGCTCATTTAGGTGATTTGACTGAAAATGAAATCACATGGCAAAACTTGGTTATAAATTAAAGAAAGACTTTTCATTGCTGTAGAGAACAAATCCAGTGTTCTCCACAGGTCTGGGTGCAGCCTCCCTTTCAGAAGGGCAGTGATAGTATCCGAATGACAGCTCTATGTGGTATCAGTGTCCCATCCCAGGCAGAAAGCCAAGGTCTTCATCCCAGCTTCTCTATTCCCTCTGTTCCTGGCTCTCAAAAAAGTGCTGAGCTGGAGGCATGGTTCAAGTGGTAGGAAAGTACAAGGCCCTGGGTTCAAACCCAGTACTATTTAAAAAACTGGGGGCCTGGTGCAGTGGCTCAAATGGTAGAGAACCTGCCTAGCAAGCATGAGGCCCTGAGTTCAAGCCCCAGTGTTGCCAAAAAAAAAAAAAAAAGAAACACTGGAGTAGGTCTTAGTACATCCTCATGGCTTGTATGTATCACCTGGAGCCCACAAGGATATGTGCAAGCAGCTAAGTACACACTTGTCTAGAATAACACCGTGGTCACCAAGAAGGAAAACTACCTGCCCATTTGGCACAGCAGTATTGTTCTTTTCTACTCAGGCCAGACTCCTATCGATGTTCTATCCAGCCCTACCTTCAGATATATCCACTGCATGGACGTAAGGGCAAAGGGTAGAGTAGGGGCTGCCTTTCACTTGTCTGCCTCCAACAGCCTTTACTGGTCCTGTGGCAGCCATAGGGACACAGTGCTGTTGAGTCATTCAAGGCTGTTGTGCAGGCTGCCCTGCAGAAGCAGCTGTTAATTATCTCATAGTCATCACATTCTACTTCAGAAAGACTTGGGAGCTAGGGGCTGGTGGCATGGCTCAAGGGACAGAGCCCCTGTCTAGCAACAAGGCCTTGAGTTCAAACTCCAGTACCACCAAAAAAAAAAAAAAAAAAAGACTGGAGAGCTTGTTTAACAGCAACAAATGCCTGGCCTCCCCTGGAGAGCCTGACTACAATCCTGGGATCTTCATTTTAAAAAAAAAAGAACGAAACAAAATAAGCAACCTCCCCAGGAGATCCTAGGCCTCATAGTATACTTCTTAAAATTTAAACCTTCAGTCTAAACCCTTTGAACCCATACTTTCTTAGAGATGCTTTTTAATGTAGCGAGCTTTATGGAGCTCCCTGTGTCCACCAGGATCCTTTCTACTTGTGTTTAAACAGTGTCCTAGATCCCCTGTGGTTGAGGCTTTGGTGAATGCAAGTGGCCTGCCCACTCCAGTTATCTTGCCACCCATTCAGCTGCATACCTATAGTGCCAGAGTGCTTAAATAAATCACACTTGACTTTGGAATGATTTCTCTGACAAACTTGCCCCTATAAAAAGGAAAAAAAACTGAATTTTCCCCACCCTTGACTGTTGCTGATACTGGTTATTTCTTGGTTTGATGTGCATGTGGTCACAGGAACATTGGAGGTGAATGTGTTAGAAGCCTGTCTTTAATTTTCCAAAGAGTAATGTGAATATGGATAATTAAGTGTTAACTTTTTCTGTAAATGTTAGAAGCAACGTCATTTCTTCATTCTAGGGCTTTATACATTGGAAGGTATTTTAGGATGGAGAAGTGTGTTCCCATTGAAAATGCTTCTTATAACCAGATGCTAGTGGTTCCCCCCCTGTAATCCTAGCTACTTGGGAGGGAGAGGGAGGATCGAGATTCATGGTGAGCCTCAGCAGATATTTTACGAGAACCTGTCTTCAAAATAACCAGAACAAAATGGACTGGAGGTGTGGCTCAAGTGGTAGAGCACCTGCTTTGCAATTGTGAAGCCCTGAGTTCAAACCCTGGTTCCCCCCGCCCCCCAAAAAAAAAGATTTTTATTTTCCACAGAATCATAAATATCCAGCAGATGCCTCTCCCCTAAAAATTACAAGGCACATTTTCAATCTTTATTTCAGTTCATGTAGAATGTTCCAGGCTGATGGTTATAGAATGGTCAATAACAAGCTTCTGTTTTTCCATACTTTTGTTCTGAGCCTCATCAAGTTGTCATTTTTGTATAAGGTGGAGAAGAAGAAGAAAGTGACGAGCCACCCAAAGTGGTCATTACTGAGGTGAAGGAAGAAGATGCTTTCTACTCTAAAAAGTAAGTGGCCTGGGGTCATGACTGGGCTGACTGTTAACTGGAACAGGGAATTCCTGTCTTGTTTAAACCAGCCATTCCTAGAGATTTCCTACATCATACCATCTGCTTTTCTGTGGCTGTGACTCTTCTGCTTTTAAAGTGCTTCAGAGACAACTTTCCTGTCACCTCGAACTATTCTCTTTACTCTTCTTCTCTCTTCCTCACAAAGAAAGTCACCTAGTCACCGATCTCACATTGTGGTTTGATGTCTGCTCTTAATTAGGAAGCATCTTTTTATTTCAAATCACTGGTTTGTTTTGTTATTGTACTTATCATACAGAAAGCATCTTTGATCCCTTCTTGGAGACTTGGTTGGTCTTTCTGTATTTGCTCACAGCCAGAAAGTTCTACACAGTAACCAACCATCCTGCCCTGTTAAGGATATATAAAAACTGTCTTCTCCTGTAATGAGAGCTGTTGTTTTGGTCTTTGGTTTTTGTCTGTTTTAAATAACAGCTGCCTCTTTAAGAAGAAATCTGAAAGGGAAATTTTACTTATCTCCTTTCCATTCTTCCCAATTACATGAAATTACTTTTTACTTACAAGCATTTCAGAAGCTTTCTAACAAAAAATTTAGAATGAATCAACAGGTTTTTGTTTTGTTTTGTTTTGTTTTTGCTGTACTGGGGCTTGAACTCAGGACCTACACCTTGAGTCACTCCACCATCCCTTTTCTGTGAAAGGTTTTCTCAAAATAGGATCACTCAAACTATTTGCCTGAGCTGGCTTCAAACCACGATCCTCCTGATTTCTGCCTCCTGAGTAGCTAGGATTATAGGCATGAGCCATGGGCACCGGCTGAATAAGTAGTTTTCAATTTAATAAATCGCCACGTCCTGTCAGATTCTTGTTATTTTATCTTTGAGAACTTTTAAGAGGCTAACAATTATTTTTGCTTATTTTTAGTTGTATATACAGGCCTGATCCTGACTTTAGATCTCTTCTAGTCAGAATAAATCAAATGCCACAGTGATTTTGTTTTTATTAATCTAAGAGGGTATGTGATATTGGAAGCGGGAGGACCTTTTGTTTATCATTAGTTACACTTTGCCTAAAAATGTTTTCCAAATTTATCTTGATATCTTGGGAGCTCAAAAATCGAAGGAGCCCTGAAGAGAATTTGAAAAATAACAAACAGAGGGGAAGCCAGCCATGGTGGCTCAGGCCTGTAATCCCAGCTAATTGAGAAGCAGAGACAAGGAGGAACACAGTTTGAGGCCAGCCAGGGGAAGGAGTTGGTGAGACTTCCATCTCAGTCGATGTGCTGGTCATGGTCGCTCACACCTCTGATCGCAGCTGCCCAGGATGCTACAAATAGGAATGTCTTCATCTGAGGCTGGCCCTGTGCAAAAATGGCAGAGCCTAACTGGAAAATACCTAAAGCAAAAAAGGACTTAGGGGCATGGCTCAACTCACAGACCCTGAGTTGAAACCCCAGTATTATCAAAGAAAAGGGTAATGGGGAAAAACAGGTTTGGGGAAATGCAGCACAGATGGACCTATGTCTGTTCCTATCCTTAGAAGACCAAATCAGAGTATCCAGCTAGATTTTCATATTCTGAGTTTTACCCAGATTCCTTTAGTCAATTTGTCCTGTCTTGTCATTTAACACAGATTTTTCCACATGAGTGAAATAGTGGTTGTTAGAAAACGGTGACTTACTTGTCATTGAATGCCTGATTGTACCTAGTATTTTCCTCCATAGGTGTAAACTATTTTACAAGAAAGACAACGAATTTAAAGAGAAGGGTGTGGGTACCTTGCATTTGAAACCTACAGCAAATCAGAAGACACAGCTCTTAGTGCGGGCTGATACCAATTTAGGTGAGTACTTTTTTTTTTTCCAAGTGGTACAAAATTATCCTAATTATACCGCCTTTTACCTCACTGATTTCAATATTTGAGGTTGTAGCGTTCATTCATGTGTTTTCCTAGTGGACGAAGTCATTCAGTCCACTGAAGGGGAGTGAGTGAGTGAAATCCAAGGAGGAGCAGTGGCCTGAGACGAGCTGTGAGTTGTGCTGGATTCCACCAGGCTGTGTCAGGACAGGAACCCCTGGGGAGGCATTTTTCTTTCCTGTTTGTAATAATATCACCATAATGTCACTCTTACCCAGTTACCCATGCTGGCCTGTATGATGACAGTGATGTTTCTTTTGTGTGAAATGGTGAAGGCCTGAGGTCCAGTTGGTACCGACGTCGTCTTCTTTATGCAAGGGCACAGTGTTCACTGAAGCTCTGAGCGAGGCCATTGCCTCTCAGAGATGCGGTGTTGAGTGGAGGGGACATGGGCAGGAGGGAGGGCAAGAGGCAGCTCCTCCACTGAGATGCAGCAGAGGCCTCATGGCCCTCTGTTAGGGACAATGCTGGTATCTGTCAGGTAACCAGTGCCTGTTTTTGTGACCCTTTTTTTTTTTTAAAGCATATATTAGTTGTGCAGAGGGGTTTCATTGTGACATTTGTGCTTACAATGTATCTCAATTAGATTCACCTCCTCCATCATTCTTCCTCATACCTCCCCCACTTAGAACAATTTCAGTAGATTCATTGTTGTTTTCATGTATGTATACAAAGTACATCTGCCTGTTCTCCCTCTTTCACTCTGTTTACCCTCTCCCCTCCCAGTGGTATCCCAGTAAGACCTGTTTCACCTTCCTGTCCTTCATTTTTCTTTTCTTTTCTTTTTTTTTTAATTAATTAATTTATTTTTTAATTTTTATTTTTTTATTATTCATATGTGCATACACAATGCTTGGGTCATTTCTCTCCCCTGTCCTTCATTTTTCTTAAGCGTATGTTGATTACTCAAGGGGGTTTCTCATATATATATATATATATATATATAGTACTTTAATCAGATAACCCCTCTATCACTTACTCTATTACCCTGCTCCCCTTTTTGGGACATTCTTGATGCTCCCCAAATTTAGATCCATTGAGTAGCATTGCTTCAGTGTCTGTTGCAGACTCATTTCTTAAAGCTGTAGTTTGTAAGGTTTGATTTGTTTTCCTTTGTTTAACTGCAGGCAACATATTGCTGAATGTTCTGATTCCACCCAATATGCCGTGTTCTCGAACAGGGAAAAACAATGTGCTCATTGTCTGTGTTCCCAACCCACCGCTTGACGAGAAGAACGCCACCGTCCCAGTCACCATGTTAATTCGGGTAAAAACTAGCGAGGATGCAGACGAGTTGCACAAAATCTTGCTGGAGAAAAAAGATGCCTGAACACGTGAGCTCTGTGGAGGAATCATTGCCAAGCTGCTGCTGCTTCCCCCAGCACCCCAAACTTAGTCAGTTTTTCTTCTCTTACTTTGACATTCTAAGAACTTCTAGATAACTGAAAACTTTTGTGAGGAAGATTAAGGCAAATAAAACCTTTCAATGTTAAGTGTTGAGAAACTATTCTCCCTTCTTAAGAACTGTCTAATGTGCAAAATACACTTGAGTGAAAATTTTTGAAAGATTTTTTTTAACATTCATTCGTTGATTAAACTAACCATAAATGATTTCTTAATGGACTGCAATCAGGGTACCAATTGCTTTCCCAAAGGCTGTTCCGATCAATCCGCGGGTTCCAGGTCTTCTCCAGCATGGTGAGGCTTTCCAACGGCGATGTTCCGGCAGCATCCAGAACGAAACTCTCCTGTGGGCTTGACTGAGACCAGCACTCTAACCAAACGAACCATGCCACCACGCTGTGACAGAGATGCTTGTCCTTTGCTTTGCTTTGTTTCCTTTTCAAGCTGAAATGTGGGTACCAGATGCTCGTCATCAGCCTGTTATCTGCAGATGCTGCCCTTTAATTTGTGGGCTGCTTTACTGTCATTCAGGAACTGCCTTTTCATTTTAAAAGGAAGTGGGTGCTTGTGAAGGAGTTGTTGGGGTTTGTAGATTTGGGTTTTGCAGTTTTTATCGTGAGGTGCTGTTACTTCTTTATCCCCACCAAGACAATTAATTTAGAAGGGAATTGCCAGGAATGGCTTTACAAGCACAAATTTCATAGTTTATCATTTCTAGATCATGAACAATAAGCCCTTATGAAAAAAAGTGAAACCATGCGAAAATAGTAAGATGTGCTCATTGTCATTTGTACACGAACCTAAGGACATAAAACCACATAGTAAGTGAGCTGTGTGAAATGTGCAGTAAGGAATGGAAAAGAAAATTGTGTGTAAACTTTGCCTTTAACTTAGTGTATTAATACATTTGCTCTCTGAAATCCCTGTTTACTTTTTGCAAGAATAGGATACTCAATGTGTCCATTTGGAAGAGAGCCATGGTTATGCAACAATGTCCTCATCACTTCTCCAGAGCTCAGGGGACTACCCTAGCATTCTTTGAAGACTCTTGAGCACATGAATTGGATGCAATGTTTGATGTCTGAGTTTCCACTTTCATTCCTCATCAGTCATGTAATATTGCTGCCAGGTGATCGTTTCAAGGCTCAGGGTCGGTGTCCAAAGGCTCACACTTATACATTCTGCAGTGTTCTGACTTAGGAGAGAGTCACAATAACTGGGTGGTATGGTTGCTTGTTCGAAACCATAGTCTCTAGGTGTAAGTGTGTGTGTGTGGGGGGGGGGGTCTTGTGATAAAACCTGGCTAACTCTTAAGAACTTAGGAGAAGTAATTGGGCCAGTGTTGCTCATGGGATTCTTACACTGCCTTGTGCTCCTCGTTTTCTGACTCCAGTGGGAGAGCTTGGCCTGTGTGTGGCTTTGGATAGCTGTGTGCAGAGCGGTGTACTTGGGTTGTCATAGGGTGTGGTCCAACTCGTAGCTGTATTGTGTCACTTGGGGAGGAAGTGAGGATTAGTTTTGCATTTACTTTTTAGAATTGAGAATGTTTTGAGTTTTTGTTCGATAATTTACAGTAAGCAAGTGGTTGATGCTGTTACAATAATACTGACCCTGTCCTGTTCACATTGGGTTTATTTGACAATTTTTTTTAATAAAGAGTAAACAAGGGGGACAATTTTCAGAACATTATAGCTCAGCCACACATGTGCCTGTGGTGCTAGCCAGCATAATAAACTCACTGCACCTTAGGAACAAGTTACTGTCATTGTCTGCACATGTGATAGTATTCACAAGAAATGATGTGAAAAGATCAGGATTGGATTACACTTTAAATCCCCCCATCCGAGTTTATTTTTAATGAGTGGATGTGTGTGGCTTGCTTTCTTCCTATCATTCCCAGCAAATTGCTGCTGCTAAGACTATCACTGTTGAAGTGAAAATTACAGGGAAAAATGTGCTATGTATACCATGACTCAAAGTGATATTTTCTTAATCTATTATGCTTTAGGAACTGTTGCTCTCCACTTCATGTATTTGTACACAAGAATTTGAATGTATGGATTTTACTGTAAAGTCTCACTCCTGTGTGTTACTTGGGGGAGGGGCCCCCGGAGGGCTTACCTGTTTTTCTCCCTCTGTGTTAGTAGCTAATTCTGACTCATGGGTTATTTTAGTTTGATTTAGTTTTAACAAAATGTTGGAAATTGGGCTTTAAAATGTTTAATGTGAACTAAAATTTTAGTTTGAAAATCTGTAAGTTATACCACAGACTGGCCTAAGTGAAGGGTATATTTTTTTCTTTAAGTCAGATTGCATCTTGACAAATGCTGATCCCTGTGGCCTTTTTTCTCCATACTGATGTATTAGTCTTTACCTTTTGCACATTCCCAGTAAGCAAAAAATTGAGTTACACCGTCTTCCTTCTTAGAATTACACACTGGAAATGTGTCCCGGTTTTCTTTGTTGTTGTATTTTAAAGGACTTCAGATTGTGTTTTATATAGAGGGACAAGTCTGACCATTCATGGACTGATTTTCTTTCAGAGGATTGTTCTGTTCTATGATTTCGATTCTAAATCATATTTCTATATGCTGCATGTGTGACGCCTTTGAAGGCTGTGCAGACTAAGTTTGGTTACTCTCAGGCCCCAAGTATTGGAATTTTAACAAGACACTGACTTGTTCTGTAGGACCTGTAGGTGACAGCTCTTCAAAACTGGTCTCTCATCCATCCTGCGCCAAGACAAGGCCACCGTGTGTTCTTGGCCAGTAGCAGTCATGGGCAGGACGCCGATGAGTTGTAAGGGAGTGTAAAATTTCTTGGCAATCAGATGGATAAATTGTGTGCTTTTTACCTTAAATAGGAAATTGTTTTCTAAAACTAAAATACTTGAATTGTCAGACAATACAATCTGTTTGTATTAGTTTTTTGAATGGTCCCTTTGAGGAAGTGTAACAATCCATGAAATGTGAATAAATGGAAAGTAAACAAAATCAGTGTTCAGCAGCTGCATTTCCTCGGGGATACACTCAGCGCTGATACAGGTCAGGCCAGCCTGCAGAAAAGAACCACAGCTGAGACAAGATGGCCGCTTGACATGGAGGCAAAGTTGGGGCGCTTCAAGTGGTTCAGCTCTTGGGCTCCTACCGGGCTGTTGTAACAATGAAATTGGAAATACCAGACCCTCAATTGGCCAGCCTGCAGAGCACTGTGCTGGGTGCTTCACGAACACTGGCCAGTCCTCAGAGCAAACCGTGGAGTTAGGGGCTGGTGTTAGGTTTAGTTTCTCTTACAAATGTAGTGAAGTTGGGATTTGCGTTCGAGTCTGTTTCAGTCAAAAACTGGGCTCTAAAAGGACATTTTAAGAGTCCTTATTCCCATTTCCTGTGTGGGAACAGGAAATGTTTCTCCCTCTCTCCCATTTCTCCCTACTTTATCTTGTTAAACCAAAATAAATCCTTGCTGAAACTTCAAAAAAATAAGTAAATAAAAGAACATTTTAAAACTTAAGAGTCTAAAGCAGACTTACCCATCAAAATGTTTTTCCTGAACATTTGCATCTAGTGGGAGTTCTGAATGGTGTGAAGAGGCTGCCTGGAGAGTGGGATTGTGCCTGAGCCACACCGGGCCTGTTGGAGGGGCTCAGCCCAGTGGCTGCCTAGCAGTCTCAGTGAGGCCCTGGGACCGGCAGCACCAGCAACACCTAGGAATTTGGCAGAACTGCCTTCCCTTGGGCCCTGCCCTAGGCCCACTGAATCAGAACCTCACTTTATGGCCCAGTCTTTTTTTTTTTAATTGAGCTATGATTCACATAACAAAATCCTCCTTTTATAAAGTATTTGGTGCAGTGCTTTTAGCATACAGTCGCACAGCCATAAAGTGGTCACAGGAGTTGGGTTTGACAGGTGATCAGGTGCACAGCCCAGGTGGAGAACCACTGGCACATGCCTGCTCTCTCCCTATAACCCTTGCCCAGAGTTAGTCTATAAAATCCCTTTTGGCACATTCTGGGGGGAAACAGCAAGTTACCAGTGTTGCCAGGAGCTATGCCAGCCTCCGTGCCCAGCCTTGCCTCAGTTCACTGCCAGTGCCCCAGGAAGACAGCGGTAGCTGCTTTTGAAAAACCCGTGGCCTGGAGTCAGGTGACAAGCCCAGGCGATGGGCAGGGCGGGGTTCCAGGTGCCCTTTAAGTGACTGAGCTTAACTGGTTTCTGGAATTGGCTAGTCTTTTGAGAAAAACTTTTTTCAAAATACACAGTTCACTAAAAAACACGATTATTTCAAACTGAACAACCTAATTATTTTATTAGTCATATTCCAAAATGAAAGACCCCCCTTCGTCCACAGAGAGGAAAGAAAAAGTGTTAACCTGTAGGCTTATGTAAAGGCTAAATCAGGAGGCAATTCAGTGTTGTCTTCCCCAGAAACAACCATTTTCCCCTGCCAGCTGTGTTCACTTTAACAGCCTGGCACAAAGCACAGCTGTGTTACCTGGGGACAGTTCACCTTTCTCTTCCCAGTTCCAGATTCCCCCAGGGTTTCCCTTCCAGTGAGCACATTCTGGGCAAGGGTATGACAGATCCTAAAAGCTATCTGGGTCAGGATAAAAGACCTGAGGCAGCAAAATGGTCTTCAAGAGTCGGTGAGTAACATGAAAGAGTGTCGCAAGTAGATGCTCCCTGCTCCCCGTCCCTGCCTGAAGGACATCGATCAGAGGTCTCAGGTGACTTTTTGGCAGTACTAGGGTTTGAACTCAGGGCCTTGCACTTGCCAGGCAGGCACGCTGCCATGTGAGCCATAAGCCCAGTCCTTCCTCAGATGACTGTTAGACTTAAAAGACTTCCCAGTTACTTGGCAAGGGTTTGATCTGGATGACAAGGGGGTCCTATGGCCTAGGTGGTGTCCAGTTCCTCTCAGACCCCTTTCTCTGCCCCTTATTTCTATTCTGAAACCTCAGTGTGTTAGGCCTTTGCCCATTGCCTTGTGACATGAGTAGTCATTTGGCCACATGAAAGGTGGCTGTGAGGTGATTTCCAGCCGAGAGCAGACTCTGGGAGGCTCAGCCAGAAAGCACTGCAGCACAGGATGCTGGGCAGAGGGCCGGCCAGGCAACAGGAACACCTGGTCCAGCCCCTCATGCCCAGAGGCTGAGTGGCTTACTGGGATCTACCAAGACCAGATTCCTGCCTCTGTTCCTGTCATTTCCCACTCCTGCGAGGGTTTTTGGAGAGATTTTCTAGAAAAAGTTGGCTAGTTTCACAGTGCAATTCCAAGGGCATGCACTGCTTCCCGGGGTCTGAGAGCTAAACCTGAAACACATCTCACGTTCATTTTGCAAACAGCACCTCTGGCTAAACCAATGTCACTGCCCCCCTCACTGACACCACTGGCCAGCATCTGCCAGCACAGGGTGACATGGTGGCCTCCAACATGTCCCATTTAAAAGCAGTACCTTGTGTGAGAGCTCCAATAAAAAGTTTAAGGACTCTTTGGGGGCAAATTAAAGTTCGATCATTAAGCTACTGCTTTGACAGAAAGCAATTAACCTGAAAGTATATTATATGAAAAATAATCGGGTACAAATCAGAGGAAGCTAGAAGAAAAATGAGCATCTCATATGCAAAGCAACTTGCAAAGAAACACGAAATATAAAGGCAACCACAAATCCTGCCTGGCAATGACTATTGCATGCAGAGAATGGTTCACCAGTTAGCTGTAGATAATATTTATGGAAATACCACTGACAAATTAGCATACAAATGTATGCCATTACGATGTTTTTGCTAAAATTTATTTCGTAGAAATCACGAGTTAGGCTTCAAAGAGCAAAAAAAACTCTCAACATCATCTTTATGGGTTTAACTACGCTCATAGAATTAGTCTGGAAACCATAAAAGATTGCTATTGCACCTAAACCTCTTAAACCTTCTACCAAGTGAGGGACTGAAGCCAAAAGAACGCAAGGACGAAACGGTTCACGCTGTGTGCAGAACCGGAGGGTCATTGTCATTTTTGATGGGCAGATCTCAAGGCCTGGGCCTGCCCTTGGGAATAACAGAAAACTGTAAACAAATCTCTGCATGTCCATGGCTTCCTTCACTTCCAGGGTTCCACCTGCTCAGAACTCTGAGCCCAGCCCCAGGCCACTTGGTGTCAAGTACCCCAGCTTCTGTGTCTGATGATCCTGGCAGAGCACTGTGGCTGTTTGTTCCAGGGGCTCAGAGAAAGGTTTGGAGGATTCCCTTTTCCACAGAGGGTCATGTTGGTAACTAGTCAGTTGGTCAAAGGGAAAAAGATCTGGTGGCCACCACCCCATAACTCCCAGTGGGCACCCGCAGAGGTGTGAAGCCACCTGGCCTAAGAGCAGCTCTCCCTTTTGGGATATTGCTGACTCCTCTGGAGGTTACTTTTTGCACTTTTGGGTCTTAAGAGTTCTTGTCAGGATTTAGCAGAAGCACTTCTGATTTTTTGGTTTTTTGTTTTGGTGGTACTGGGGCTTGCTAGGCAGGTGCTCTACCACTTGAGCCACTCCACAGCCCTTTTTTGTGATTTTTTTTTTTCCAAGATAGTCTTGCAAACTATTTGCCTGGAGCTGTCTTCAAATGATCCTCCCGGTATCTGCCTCCTAGGTAGCTAGGATTACAGGTGTGAGCCACCAACACCTGGCACAATTCTGCTTTCTGATGCAAACGTGAGAGCAAGCCAGACGGGGGCAACTAACATGTCAAGAAACTGGATGGGAAACCAGATTCCAGTTCATCTAGACTATACGGCAGAGCGAAGCCTACTGAGTTGTGTAACACGTCGGCAGGTTTTTAATATAAAAGCCTTTAAAAAATTTGGCCAGCAATTTAAAACCACGACATGACACCGTCAAGTGTTTTCAAGTCATTAGTATGCATCAGCTGCATCGGAACTGGAATGTCTTAATGAAAAACAAGTCTTTCATTTTTCAAAAGTCTATTAATTAGTCTGTGATTAAAACAGCAAAAAATAGATCCTGGTTTGATTCCAAATTTTTTTGAGAACACATCAGGAACACGCTTTCATGTTCTTCATCATTACTCCACGTGGACAGAAGGCTAACTTCCCGGCGATGTGTCCAGTGTTAAAGATTCTGCTCACAGGAAAACCCATCCGATAGCCAGGTGGGTCGGGCTACACAATGTTCTTTTCTCTTTTGGTTACTTGTCTGCTACTTGTGTTTTAAATAATATTCTTCTCTTGGGACAAAATGAGCCAGCCAGCTCTTGTGACAGCCAGGACTGCAAGAGCGATGTTGCCTGAGCCTTCACGTACCCAGAGTCACTCACAAAGAAAAAGCCCAGCACTACCACCTTCTCAGTGTCCTTAAGGTTGACACCTCAGTTTCCACAAAGGAGAACTGTACTCTAATCCTGATTCCCATTTATGACCCGTCTGTGCGCTTTGCTGACCTGACCCATGTTGTCCAGGAGACAGGAATGTTCCCAGAAAAGCGAAATGGCCTTCCAGAAGCAAGTGTATCAACACCAGGACTTTTGGGGCTCTGGTTCTGACCATCACTTATATCACTTTTTTGTTTTTATTTTTTGAGGCAGGGTCTCACTATGTAGCCCAGGTTGGCCTTGAACACATGATCCTCCTCCATCCATCCCTGCGCCCCAGTGCTGGGATCTTAGGCATGGCCACCACACCCAGCTATCAACTTTTGTTGATGTCAGTTACTACTGTGAATAAATAAAAAACCTCAGAGTGACAGTTTATAATCTAGTTACCAAATGTCACTGCACATGCTTTAATCAGGATCAGAAGTACCCTCTGGAGATGGATTTAGGACTAAGAATGGTAGATGTAACCAAACACCTGTCCATGTGTCCCAAGCCAAGGCCCAGCTTAACTTCTACCATCGTGATCTGTGATTTAACTTTACGCAGTTCACCCAACTGCTCTGTGGCTGTTTCCTTGTCTGGAAGATGGGAACACAGGGGTACATAAATGTTGGAATGGGGCCTGCACATGGTAGGTGCTGTGGGTTAGACACAAACACAGCCAACCCATGGCAGGCATCTGTTCCCACACACCACATCTGCATTCCTATGACCTGGGGAACACTTTCACACAGGACTAGTCCTTCCCAGGCCAGCCTGGCTATGGGTGAGGGAGCCCTTTGCTGGTCCTCACTCCGAGAACAGAGCGCTGCCTGTCTTACACTACCTGTCCTTCCAGAAGATGCATCGGGGCTGTATTTCTCCCAAGATCCCAGCCCAGAGTCTTCGGATTCCAGAATGAGCAGGGAGAAAAAGTTCCTGAAGATAGGTATATTTCAGCTATCCTGGACACAAACTTGGGAACAGCATTCACAACCCTGTAGAACAAGCAGTGTCCTGCAGTGCTGGGTCACGTCCACGGCCTGAGGCGCTGCTCAGACACCCTGGGGCAGGACCCGACTCTGTGGCCCTAAGACACCAGGTTAGAATGTGAACCTGCTCCAGGGAGTCACAGCACCAGCCTAAGCCAGCACTGCTGGAAGATGGGACACCGTCCCAGTCTACCTGCCACTGGCCACCGTGGAGGAGGTTATCTCAGAGTGGGCAGAGGCAAGCTCCCAAGAACCTCACCCTAACCCTGACGCCCAATCAGCTATGCAGTACAGCTGCTGACTGTACCATGACCTTTGTGCACTTGAACCCTAAAGACGTCAGTGAGGTAGGTTGTTAACAGCCCCATTTCATAGGTGGGCAAGCTGAGGCAGAACGAAATGCAATAGCTTGCTTTTAATAACAACATACAAAACCTGGAGAAAGCCCCAAAGTAGTCCCCATTCCCAGAGCCGGCAGAATGGAAACAGAGCAGACTCCTGCTCTTCCTTTTCTGCCCACAGGGGATCTCTCAACGCTCAGTTGGAGCCCTCCAGTACTCCGGACATCAAACTCCAAACAGCAGCAACAAGGAGACCAGCTTCCAGTCTATTCCAGTTGGGTAGAGGAAGGCCTCAGCTCCTGAGAGCACACTGTGCTGGGACAAGGCAGGGCTAGTGGCCGTGGGTCGCTCACATTCATCAGCTGTACCACCCACGCACAACCAGCCAAGCCAGTTCCTCCTTGCCTAGGGAGCTGGTCCAACCAGCACACTGGTCAGAGGAAACAACACCCGGCCCCAGAGGTTGGTGGTTCTGCCTACAACCCCCTGGGAGGATGCCAACCCCAGCCCACACCAGATACCCTGCAGCTAAAGTGCCATTTTCCTGCCCTCAGTATCCAAATTCTGGGAGTCCTGGCAGCCAAGGTGGGAGGCAGGACGTCTGCCTTCCTGTCCGGATTGGAGGCGGGCGATGATGATGTTCTTTGGCTGGAAGCAAAAGGCCATTCTGGCGGGATGGGGCCTGTCTGCCCAGCTTGGGGCCATTCTGAGCTCAGCTTGGGCATAAGGGAGGTATTCCCAGCCCAGGGTGAAGCTGCAGTCTCCCCATGGGAACTTGCTGTGACAGAGTGATAACTAGGGGAAGACAAGGTGGGACTGCCTTGGACGCTGAAGTTCACAGGTACCACAACTGCAAAATCATCAACTGCTTTTCCTAAGAAGTGTGGACGGTCTGACTCGCTGAGAGCACCAGCACTGGGTTCCACCTGCCATGTCAGGAGGTCTGGGCACATTGCAGACGCCAGCCCTTGCGTGCTCTCTGACCTGTTGGTGTCTCTGGCCTCTCTGGGTGCAGAGAGCTCTTCACAGATGGGCTGGGGTGCTGGGGTGGGATGGGGATACACAGGGGAGCAGAGCCAGCAGGGAGGAGGACGAGGCACTTCAGTTTGGGCTGGTGTTCATGGAGTCGGCCCTGGCTCCAGGAGTCGAGCGGCCCCGCCTGGCTGTGGCTCTGGCGCTGGCTTGTCACAGAAGACCCCGGTGGCGGTGACAGGTAGGCACTTGGCAGCATTCCCAGGCCAGGCAGAGCCAGGGCTCTGCATAGGCTCCACACACGCTAGGTCATCAGGATGGGCTTCTGCCGGACTTCCAGGATGTCTAGGGTAACAAGAGGGAAGCAGACTGGATGGGGAAGCTCAACCACCAAGCCATAGCCATGTCAGCTCCTTTCAGCGGGGGAGCTGTGGCTGCCACACACACACATTTCTGCTTAGGTCTCACAAGACCGCAGAACCTGCCACCTTCACCCCTCACACGCAGGCACTAGGCCAGACACAGCTGCAGAGCTCAGCCAAGGGTGAGAGGAAGGGGCTCCAACAGAAGCAGGGGCCTGCAGAGCCCAGCCCCAGAGGCTGCAGGCCAGGCATCGAGGGAGCCTGAGACAAGCCAAGGTCATGAGTACCATACCTGGGGACTGAGACCATGCAGGAGGGGACAGCAAGGGCCCCAGGAAGGTGTGCAGAGGCGAACCACTGGCTCTGGGAAGCTAGGCCCACCTGAAGTCTGGAACAGGGAGGCCAAGGTCCACAGCCTCCACCCCCCACCCAGGGCCTTGGGAATCTTGCCTGGAGTTAGACCTGGCTATAAAGGGGGTCCGCCCTTCTACGTGGGCCACATTACCTGTTAAGATCCGATGCAGCGGCAAAGTGACGTAGGTCAAGTGTGCATAGAGAAGGAAATTCCCATCGGCCCTGTTCAGCTTCAGCCAGGACCCGACCAGGGACCGTCCCGTGCCAGACAGGGACCGAGACCGCAGGTTGGTTGCATTGTGTAGGTCAGCTAGAGGGGAGAAAAGCCCTGTCAGTGGGGGAACAGCAAGACATTCCCATTCCAGGCTGAGGCCACCTTCAGCTGCAATCCTTAAGAATGGTTCCCCACGGACACAACCCGCCTCCAGAACAGCTGCCTCCTTACTTTCAACCCCTCCCATCCTTCAGGGCTCACCTCCAGAGGACTTCCCTAACTGCTCCTTCTCCCCTTTCTTTCTCCCAAGCTCAGAGTCTCTCTGCGGGTCAGTTTCCCAATGCCCCATCTGTTGCTGTAATTGGGCACCAACAGTCACAGACCATGAGAGCAGTAGGCCTGGGATGACCCATCACTGTCAGCCAGTCCTGTGGCCCTGCCCAGGTGGGCAGACTAGATAGCTACTAGCACTTTCCTACCAACCTGGAAACAGTGGAGGTGGGGGCTGTAATATGGCCCTGTCTGCTGACTCAGAAAGTGACAGCCATAGTCAGGCACCAGTGGCTCACTCCTAGCTACTTGGGAGACTAAGATCCTCCCTACCCCATCCTGGACCAACCCAGGAAAAAGCCCCTCTCAACCAAGAGCAGACAGGATGGCATGCACTTGTCATCCCAAGCTATGTGAGATCAGTAGAGCTGCGGTTCAAGGCCAGCCAGGCAAAAAGGTTTATAAGACCCCATCTCAATGGGAAAAAGCTGGGCATGGTGGCATGGTGGCACGGTGGCACACACCTGTCACCCTAGTCATGGTGAGAAGCTTAAAACAGGAGGGTGTTTTGGGCAAAAGTGAGGCCCTATCTCCAAAATAATCAGGAGATATGGCTCAAACAGTGGAGCACCTGCCTAGAGAGAGTGAAACCGAGTTCAAACCCCGATACCACAAAAAACAAAAAAAAGAACAAAAAATGTGACCACCACAGACAACATGCTGGCCACTAGGGGGCCAAGGTCACACAGGAGCAGGTGAAGGCTGGTATTACTGTCTCCATGCCCCAGCTACCCCTGGCCTCTGGGTCCTGGAGTTAAGACAAGATCTCCCCAACAGGCTGCACCCCTGCTCCCTATTGGGATCTGGCCTGCACCAGCAGGGAAGCTTTCACTTATTCAATCAACAAACACACACAGAGCTGACACAGCAGCAGCTTGTCCTGAGGACAGTGAAGAACACTCAGACCCCACCAGTAGAGCTTTCCAAAACCTTCCATGTATCTGTGACCACCCTGCTCCCTAAAGTCCACTTCTCACCCAGACCACCCTGTGGCCAGCACCCCAGCAGTTTCTCTGGCCTGGAAGACCAAGGACTCCCACTTCCCACTAGCAGTAGCATGGCTCACTGATAGGATGCTGAGAAGGGGCCGGTATGAGGAGAGGATATAGACGGGTGGACAGAAGGTGTACAGAGAGAACAGAGGATCTCACGGACCTCTGCGCAAAGACACCTAGGAGGCCACTGGCCAAAGCCAGAGGGGAGGACGTGAAGCAGTGGTGACTGGAAAGCAGGCAGCCCTAAGGTCAGAGACAGAGGGAGGAGGAAGGCCAAGGAACACCCACGACAGAAGGTTCCACAGGGAGGGTGACAGCTTGTTCAAGACAGCAGAGAAGGATCACAACCAGGTTGCTGAGTCAAAGCTGTCCTCCTGCACACGGCCTGCAGACGGGTCAGGCCCCAACACCTGCTCTTGATCAGACACCAAAAGGCTCTGGAGGCCTCTGAACCCAAGGCAGGACAGACTGCTGGTGGTGTGGAAGGGTAGTGGGGAGCCCATGGAAATGGGGGCTCCTGGAGGACTAATGTCTGTCCTCAGCTCTGTCCCCAGGCCCCAGATCAGCTCCTGGCACCTGGCACCCACTGTAACTAACTGTTGCTGAATGAATGAACGAACAAGGAATGGAGCTGCCACTAGTCCAGATCGAGAAGAAAGTGGATGGCCGAGGCACCAGGCTCACCCCCACCGCTGTCCTCCCGGAAGAACTCCTCGCTGTCGTTGGCCGAGTGAGACTTCTTCATCTCAGCGATCCGGTTCCGGGGCACCTTTCTCTTGAGGGATGGGGAGAAGAAAGCAGGCCGGTTGTTCCGCTCTGGGGTGGGGGGTGTGCTGAAGGAGGTCACCTGGGAACAAGGAGCCCAAGTCACAAGAGCAGCAAGAGCTACTCATTGCCTCAGGGGCCCCATGTCCTGCCGTCAAACTGAAGTGGAACAGAGCCCTGGGAGAAGGGGCACTGGGCCCACCATCCTGGCAAGGAGCAGCCGTGCCCTGTGTGAGGAGGACGCATGACGCCCGCCTTCCTCCGACATAAACTCCAGGGAGGGGTTGTCCAGCACAAAGTGACACGGCACTTAACCACAGCACACGTGGCACCCCCTGGATCCTCCCCCCACGCCGAGTGGAGGCTCTGTTGCCCCGTTTGACCCCTGAGCAAAGGAAGGCAGGACAGGGACAGTGCCCTGCAGGATGGAGGCGACACGGGGGCCTGAACTGTCTTCCGCTCCCAAGGCCGCACCCGGGGGCCCTCGGGCCCTGCCCTCCCACTCCCCACCCCTGTCATAAGAAGTACTGGGCTGGGCGGCTCGCTGCCTCCAGCTCCTCTTCTCCCTCTAAGCACATGTGGCTCCACTCACTAAACGTTCTGCACACTCAGTCAGAGCCACTCGAGCACACACAGACACATGACATAGCTCCCTGCCCTCAAGGAGCTCACAGTCTGCTGGGGGCAAGAGGTTCAAAATGTGACAATCACAGACAGCATGCTGACTGCTAAGACAAAGAAAGGGAAGTACAGGACACAGGAGCACAGAGGTGGAAAGGGTCAACAGCCTGGGAAATCAGGGTAGGCTTCCTGGAGAAGGTGCAGCTTGAGCTGGGTCTTGAAGGACGAGTAGGAGTTCGCCAGGTGAAGAAGGGGGGGAAGGGCGTTCCAGGCAGAGGGAACTTAGCCCATCTCCTCCCTCCTCCCCACGCAAACAAGCATCGGAGCAGCAGGACGAGCTGGGACAAAGACTTCGGGAGCCCCATTCGGCCTCCTCCTCACAGCTCCGACATCCACCAGTCCCGGCGGCTGCTGGGCTCCAGACGGTCCTCCCACAAGCCAGGGAAGGTTTTAAAAGATAAAAAACAAACACCAGAAACCACAATACACACAGTCTGCATTGGTCGTGCACTGGTTACAAGTGACCCCTCAGGACAGGAGGACAGGTGACACTGAGCACACAGGAGGTGGGTGGTCCCTGGGGCTCAGGCCCTGCCCCTAGCACTAGTGACACCAGCAATTTCTCTCCTGGGCCCCAGGACCTCCCTGCTTCCTGGAGCCAGGCACTGTCTCAGCCCTCACAGCCACTCCCACTGCTGGATGAGGGAGGGAGAGGCCCAGGTGGTCCAGTGACGTACCTAGCAAACAACGAACAGCTGACTCAGCATCAACCCTGCCCAGCCCAGGACCCAGGCCACATCTTCACAAGGACTGTCACACACTCTTCATGGTCCCAGGGGGCAATTTAGTACCCAGGAGAAGAATTAGGTCCCTCATCTCAGCATGAGCTCAGAAATTAAAACCACCTCCTCTCCAAAGACAGAGGCCCCTGCCTACAGTCCTCACTCAGCCTCGCAAAGAAGAGCACCCACAGTGATTGCAGAGGGTATCAAAAAGAAAAGACGGTAAACAGAGAGAAAGAGAACCAACCTCTGGCCACCTGGAGACACACACAGTTATGACCTCTGCACAGAATTAAAGTGCAATGGACCTGCTCCCCTCATTTCAGCACCTAAGGGTCATTTATGCTCCCAGGAGCGGCAGAGTCACCAGCACAGCACTACTTGAGAAGGCTTCTGGGCTGAGCCCATGCACAGTGTGTGACGAGGGCGGGGCGCCTCAGAGCTCCCATAGCTCAGGAAGCACGTGTTCTCACCCCCATTTCTGAATGAGAAAACGGGGCCCAGAAAGGAAGAGAAACAGCTTTTGAGCTGCAGAGTCTGGTTCCAGCCACAGCGTCTCTCCTGGACAAGGGCTGGGCAGGTCATGAGTGCTCTAACTTACCTGTTCTTTTCTGGGACCTACAGCTCTAAGGCCCCTCAAGACCCAAGCACAGCTAAGCAGCCAGTGTGGGGAGAACCTTCTCTTGCCTCAGGACCTGCAGGCTGGCCCACGGAAGGCTTCTGGGCTTGGAAAGTTGCCCGACCTCAGCTCCCTACCAGGGGATGGAGGGTGTCTGGAAAGAGCAGGGGTGAGGGCCCAGTGCCCAGTCTGAGGGGCAGCAGCCTCCCAGGCCTGTGAGCAGGAACTCTTATGCTTATCCACAGGACTGCTGCTACACCCCTAAACAGGTGGGCCAGCACAGAGAGAGGTGAGGTGGGCGAGGGCCTCTGAACTCTTTAGGGGAGAGGTTTTTTTTTTTTTTTTGTCTTTTCTTTTTTGGTGCTGGGATCGAACCCAGGGCCTCACGCATGCTAGGCAAGCGCTGTACCACCGAGCTACATCTCAGCCCGGCCTCTGAACTCTTTAGTTAACTTGTGGGGCAGCAGGAGGCCAAGTCTTCATGATCCTGCACTCACCAGGGAGGGCTCACATGGCCACACTCACCTGGCAGGCCCATCTAGGCAGGCTTTCTGATCAGTCTCTTCTGTCTACAGTCCCTGAAGACTCAGCCTGGCCACAAGAGCAGCTCAGGGAAGCAGAACGAGCTCTGGCCCAGGCCCCAGCCTGCCATGGGTCCTGCAGCAAGGCACCTCCCTTCTCTGAACCTCAGTCTCCCCATGGTGGGGTGATGAGACCTACCCCACCCAGGGAGTGTGGGATAAAGGAGACATGGGAGGGAATCCAGATGACAGGAGGCCCCTCCCCAAGCAGTGCAGCCCTTACCCGCTCATGCATGGGCGAAGCCGGGCTAGAGTCCTCTTCAGTCCCACAGGGGGATGTGTCACCTGTGGACACACGGCTGACGGCCATCTCAGCATGCCCCTTGCCCTGGGGCCCCTTCATGCGCACAAACTCCATGTTGCTGTACTTGTAGAAGCCGAACGACATCTTCTGGGCCATGCGGGCAGCCACGCTAACCTGTGGCAGGTGGACATGGCCTGAGGAGGTGTGGCCGGGGGGCTCCACAGGACCTCTCCCTCAGGACAGAAGTGGTCACAGCAAGCATCCCCAAGGGCTGTGCACAAGGAGGCTCTGAGCCCCCATGAACCCAGGCCACCCAAGCCAAGGAATGTGTACAGACCCCTGGCCAAAGCTGTCTCGCTGCCCTCACTGCCCATCACAGTCCCTCCAAATCCCAAAGCTGCTACCCTGGGCTGGGAAGGGGCTTCCTCAGGATGACCAGCTGCAGGAGAGCAGCCTGTCCACTGGACTCCTCTCCCTTCACTAGTCAGTCAGGGGCCAGTTTCAGGAGTGCTCCCAGCACCTGGCAACAGACAGCGAGGGGCCTGTGGTGGTGAGACAGCCATGACACCACTGCTGTCACTCCCCAGAGAACTGCAGAGTACAGAGGACATCCCCACTTGGAAAGGACAGAACTATCTGAGGGTACCAACCCCAGGTCCCAATGAGCATCCCTGGGCCACCCAGCACTCACGCGGTTGTCATACACCTTCTTGAGGGCCTCATAACGATAGAGCCCTGAAAGATGACCCCCTGGAATGTGTTGGTTTTGTCACTGGCCACCAGCTCCACACAGACCATCTCTCCTTCCCCCACAGTCATGTCGCAGAATACCTGGTGGGGCACAAAAGGAGACAGGGACATCAAGTGTCAGCTGCCACCACCCAAACCATAGCCTGACTTGGCTGCCAGGAAGGCCTGCCTAGAAAATTCCATTTTGAGCCAGGTGTGGCTGCACACTCCTGTAATCCTAGGACTCAAGAGGCTGAGGCAGGACAATCTCAGGTTCGAAGCTGGCCTAGGCTACAGAATGAGATCATCTCAAAAAACAAGAGCCAGGCGCAGTGGCTCACCACTGTAATCCTAGCAACTTGGGAAGTGGAGATTGGGAGGATTAAAGCTTGAGACCAGCCTAGCCAAAAAGTTTGTCAGACCCTATGTCAGTTAATAAACAGTCGCACATGATGTCATGCTCCTGTCATCCCAGCTCTGTGAGAAGCATAAATAAGGAGGACCATGGTCCATGCAGCCTACGCATAAATGCAAGACTATTTAAAAAATACCTACGGCAAAAAGGCTGGGGGTATGCTTCTAGTGGCAGACTGCTTGCCTGGCAAAGTGCAGCCCTGAGTTCAAGTCACAGTAGTGAAAAAGATAAAGAAAACCCCATTTTTCAGGTGAGCATGCTGAGCAGAGAGGTCAGGCTATTTGTCCATAGCTGCCCAGCTCTTCCATGGCTCCTCCTGGGACCACTGACACAGGAACAGCCTTCCGAAAGGACAGGGATATGCAGCAGGGACTCTCAGACTGGAGGACAGCTCCCTGCACTGGGCCACTCAGGGGACTCCACCCCTCATCCCACTTCCTCAGGCATTAGATAAGATCACCAAGACTGTCAGGCCACTTGGAGACCTTCTTCATGCCAGCTATAAGCACAGCCCCCCTGGCCCGCCAGTCCCTGAATTTGGCTCAGCAGAGTTGGCAGGTTAACCGCCTGCCTGGGAGAATACCACCTGGACTCAGGTTCCCAGATGGGTCTGACCACTTCCTGCCACCTTTCTGAGGTGCTGCTCCCAGGGGCTGGCATATAGACATGAGCTTTGAGGTCAGACTCAGATGCAGATAGATGCAGATACTGTGTGAGCCTGGGGAAGGCATGCCACCTCTCTGAGCCTCATGCTTCAAGGCACCATCAGGACCTGCAGCAACCCTGAAAGCCATGTGCATTTCTTCATGGGTCCTCCAGGAGCCCTGTCTGCCTATGGACAAGCTCAAAGACCAGTCCAGAGCCTCAATGGAGGCAGCCATGCAGGAAGCAGAGCAGCCTTCTTCCCTCCCTGTGTTTCCCCATGAGTCACATTCTATCCTGGGCCATTTTCCCAGCCTTAAGACACAGGTGTGGCCCAGAAAACAGAAGGCCTGGTCCTCTCTGACAGCCTAGGATTCCATGTGGGCACAGGTGTGCCATTTACAGTGTAGTACCAAGGGTAACGAAAATCTCCTCCTGCCCAGGCAATATTTATTGTGAGAGTTTACCATGTATTTTCCCGCTCAGAAGTCCATAGATCATCAATCCTGACAGGTAAATAGGACATATGGTCATCACACTCACTTTACAGATGAGGAAACTGAGGCTCAGAGCTGGGAGAATGAGGGGGAGCCTCTTCAGTTGGGCCTGCGTCAGACCCCTCCCTGCTCCCCACGGCCCAACAGCTCCTGGAACACTGCAGGCCCTCAGGGCGGCAGGGGTGGGGGTTGGCGCCTCCTGAGGGAATGGAGGGGGCGGGGCAGTCTCAAGAGGCTCACCTCCTCGAAGCTGTCGATCATGAAGAAGATATTGGGGTAGCTCATCTTGGATTCTTCCCCTTTGCTATCCATGGGGTGTTTACTGGGGGATGCAAACACTTGCTGAAAGAAAGCAGATTTTAAGGGCTGAGAGAGGCCCCTAAAAGGCAGGCCCAGAAGCCACTCCAGGTATGCGCATGGCCATGTGCTCGGAGCCAGCCCGAAGCCAGGGGGAGCTCTAGAGCACCAGCATTGGTGAGCTGGTTGGGTGCTCTCTTCACGGGATGTGGGACCCAGATTGCTGAAGGGATCTCTGGAGTCGACCCCTCACAGTAGGGCAGGGAAGTGAGGAGGACATGTCTCCACAGCACAGGTGCAAGGCAGCCAGAGGGCTGACGAGCTGGTCACCTGGGGGCTTCTGCACCAGGGCTCACCTGGGATTTCTTCCTGTGGATGTGGATGTCGCCCCCGTCAGCACGCGTGCACACTGCACAAGTCACCATGTAGTCCAGCTGGAAGACAGCACAGGTCAGTGTGCACGGAAGCTGCTGTCCCTCGGGCCTGCAGCTACCTGACCCATCTACCCCTCACCTTCTGCAGGATGAGGTTCAGGCAGACGCTCTCCTCCCAGTCGATGTCAGGGTCTCCCAGACCCGGCAGTTTCTTGGAGTCCCGCCGGTACACCTCCACCTCCACCTCGGGCTCGGCCTCAGGCAGCTGCAGCACAGAAAGAAAGTGTGTCCGAGGCTCATCGTGGCCTCCGGCATGCGTCCACTCTCTAACTGCTGCGCTGGACAGGCGTTAACAAGGACAAGAACACCCATTCTTCCTTCCCAACTCTCCAGCTTTGCGACCAGAGGCCATCCATTCTCCTCTTGGAGCCTCTTTTTCCTCATCTGTACAGGGCCTGACAGCAGCTTCCTCCCAAAGGTGTTGTGATGACTGCCAAGCTCAATTAATGATAAGGACAACAGCGACATTTTGAGCTCACAGTGGGCAGCAGAGTCTGAGCTAAACGTTTTGTAAGTGGTTAATCTTTCTGCCCTGACAACAACCCTTCAAGGAAAGCATCATTAATCCCAGTGTAAGAGATGAGGACTGGACTTACTGAAGATCAAATAATATATCCATATCAAAGAGAAACCAGAGCACCTGGCCACACCTCTCCAGGAAGAAGAGGTGTTAAGATGTCAAAAGCAGATTTTAACTGGGCACAGTGGCTCAAGTCTATAATCCTAGCTACTTGGGAGGCTCAGATCAATACGATTGCAGTTGGAGGCCAGCCAGGGCAAAAAGTTCATAAGACCCCATCTCGACCAACAGCTGGGCGTAGTGGCTCACGCCTGTTATCCTAACTACACAAGAAGCATAAATAGGAAGATCAGAGTCCAAGATGGCTCAGGTATAAACAAGAGACCTTATCCCCAAAATAACTTGAGCCAAAAGGGCTAGGGACGTGGTTCAAGTGGCAGAGCACCTACCCAGGCCCTGAGTTCAAACTCCAGTACCCTTCCCCACCAACAAAACAAAAGCAAATTTTGATGCAGCTTCCTTTGGCTGGGAGTCCCTCAGCTCTTAGGAATGCTAGCTAACTCCTGGTGAGCAGTGCTGGGGCCTCTTGCAGGGACACAGGCCTGTGCACCCCAAAGGCAGAGTGGGGATTCATGCAGAGGTGCAGGAGGCCAGGCCTGCCTCAGTGAGAAGGGATGGTACATAAGGTGAAGCTCCCACTTCCCAGTACCTGTGAGGCTGCGGGAAGTCACCCAAGCTCCAAGTGGAAGCAACAAGACTGCTACGCCTCTCAATCTCACTCCATAGCCCTGCTTGGTTACTTTCCTCTCCTCCCAGCTTTTATCACTCCAAGGTCATCTCATTTATTCCCCCAAGAGATGCAGCTTCAAACAGGCAGCAAGTATATAGGCTTTGTGCCCAGCAGGTGCTTGGCAAATCTCTGCCAACAGTGCGTAGAAGAAAAAGCACAGAGGTCAACACACAGCTGTTTGCAGGTCAGCACCCAACACACTGGACAGTGGAAAAAGCGGCTCCCCAACAGAATGGTGGCCATGTGCACACCAAAGACAGGTCTAAGAACATGCAGGGCAGATGGACAGTGTGGTATACTCAGGGGAATAGCTTACAGCCACCAAGGTGGACAAGTCACAGCCACCTGTGTCAACAGGCACAAATCCAAAATATGACATGGAGAAAAGCAGCCAGAGTACACCCTGTGCCAGTCCATGTACACGAGAGGTACCACCTGCCCAGAGGTGTGAGAAGAAAGAGTGACCCCTGAGGAGAGAGACAGCTGCGGTGGTCAGGAGTCTCAGGCGACACTGGATCTAGAGGCTGGTGACCCTGGGTACTCACACTGACAAGATCATCAAGCTGTCTACACTTGCCTGTGCGTTTTTCTGCATGTCTGTTATACTCAAGAAAATCTACTGAAATCTACCGAAAGAGAAAGAACCGTGGGGAAGCTGTGTGACGCAGAGCTGGCGTCACACTATCTCTGGCCTCTAGTTTTCTGTGAGTGAGTTTAGGATAATCTGCAGCCCAGTATTGCACGGGTGTTGATAAGAGTGACAATGGCACAAAGCATAGGCCATCAGCACAGAGCAGGCCACAAGCAGACGCCACTGTCCCACACTGCCAAAGACAAAAGGGACTGCTGAGAACAGGGAGCATTCTGTCCAGAGGGTGGCATGAAAAGACAGCGCAGGGACATCCTTCTCTGGGAAAGGCTGGGACAGGATTCCCACGGTGTTCCTGGAGCCAGGTGTGGGGATCCAGCATCCCCTGTCCACCCACACTGCAGCTCTGGTTCTGCTCAGCTAGGCAGGGAGCCCTGTTGCCGTGGCAACAGGATACCAGCAGGACGAGGAGGAGTGGAAAGCTGCACTGCGGCAGAGGACGGGCACTGCGCAGGCGTAGTGGCCCACACCTCCAGCCCTGGGTTCTTGACAGGGAGGGGCTCCTGGCTCCCACCGCCCTCCACACTGCAGCCTGACAAACTGGGGAAATGCTAAGTGGTGGTGGAGCCAGGTGCCACCTGCCCCTGCCTTGGCCCTCTGAACACTGTGCCAGACACTATCCTGTTGGCACTTGTTGGTAAGGCACTACGCTGGCCCTGCCACACACTGTGTCACATGCTTATGTCACGTTGCTTGGAACCCCCTGCCCTATTCCCTCCCCAGTGTGTCCAGTCCACAGCTGCCTACTATCCTACAATTCTCCAGACAAACAGATGTCATCTTCTTTTTTGCAGCCCCCGAGCCCGTTCTTCCCGCCATCACAGCCCTGGTGGCTCTGTACATGAATGGCATGCCATCTGTGTGCCCCAACAGACTAGGGAACCAGAGGCCAGGGCTGAGTTCCTGATGCTGGGGAAGGGGACATTTGCACATGAATCACTGTGGGTGCTCAGCAATCCCATGGGACTTGGGGTCCCCTCACTGACCTCCATACCCCCAAATCTTCAGAAGTGTTTGGAAACAGCAGCCCTAACCCCTCCCACTCCAAACTCTCAGCCCTGGATCCAGGACTGCTCCCTTGCTGAGGACAGCTCTTGCCTTTAACTTCTTTCACTCAAGAAAGAGCCAGCACCTACCCATTCCTCTTCTCTTACTCCCTCCAGACACACATGGATCTGTCCTCTCTTTCCCCTCCTGGTATCTCCTGGAACAAAAATCCAGGGTACAGCCGGGAGAGAGGGTCTCACATATGCCTGAGCCTCTGCTTGCAACAGCCTTTGACTTGGAGAAAGATAAAAGTTTAAAAAAACAATTCTCTGCAACCTGCCTTCAGCAGACAGTGCAGGCTGGAGTAGCTGGACCCAGTCTACAGTCCTGCCACCCTCTGCTCCTCCCTCCTAGGCAGACAAAGGCCTTCACTCCCTGAGTGTGCCACGGGTGGAAGCAGGGCCCTCACCCATGCTGTGCTGGGCTGCAGGAAGGAGTGCTCACAGCATGGTCACCAGCCTCTTCCTACCAAGGACATCTCAGTGGTCACATCAGTCCCAAGTATCCCGGCCTCCCAGGTGTCCACAATGGGAGAGCTCTACCCACAGAGTATCTACTCCAAGCCCAGAGACAACTGGATCCAAGGCACCATCACACAGCAAACGGGAAGGAAGCCAGTCTAGAAAGCTGCTCTCCCAGCTGCATCAGCCAGAGAGGGCATGGTGGGCAGGTCAGAGGAGCCAAGAGCTGGGCTCCAGAAGGTGCGAGGTTCAGGAGTCCCACCCTCAACACCTGCCTAACGACCCCACAAGCAAAGCTCCTCATCACCCCTTCCATGGGATGCCCTGCCCAGCCCAACCACACTGAAGCTATTCTGCCAGGCTTCCACACCCTCCCTGGTACCAAGTCCAATTCACTGGCCATGCCTGCTTCTCCCGGCCCTTGCCTCCCTCAGCATTTCCTCCTCTCTGGCCAGAGCCCATGGTTTCCTGCTGGTCCCTCCCAGGCCAGGCTGGCAGGAAAGGCACCTCCTCTGTGGAGGCACCCAGGCCTGTCCAGTTGCAGCAAACTCATTCTGCATATGTTCAGACTCAAAGCACAGGCTCAGGGCAGAAGCAGGCTCACTGTGTGAGCCACAGCTAACCATGGGGCTGGAGTCCCAGGCCACTGGACTTGGAGCCAGGCAGGCTGCAAGCCCCAGACCTGTCTCCACGGCCCAGCAACTTTTTGTTTTAAAGTAAAGCAAAGCATTTCCACGTTTAGCAAACAGGCTGCTTAAATATTCTATAAACCACCAAAGCTTCCGAAAATAAGGACAGACTCATGCAAAATTCGTTTTATTAACTCCACACATACTTAAGTTTAGCGGTGAAACACCAGTGAGTCACATCATCTCTGAGCCCTGTATTCTCATCTGTGTACGCTGACGAGCCGTGGGGAGCTCACAGAACCACGGACAGAGCCCAGCATGTGTCTAGTTTACGGGAAGAGCTGTCAGAGGAAAGCAACACCAGCACCAAGCCAGGTCACCCTTCCCACAGCCAGAGCAGGGTCCTGGGCTCTGAGATCAAACCTCTGCACAACCATTAATTACTAACTGTGAGAGGACGGCCATGTCAGCTGGACCCTAAACCTCTGCTTCCTCAAAACTCCACAGCACCCTTCAGGGCCATCATGCAGATGAAAAACGGTGCATACAGCATGCCCACCACAACCCACAGTGGGTTCCTGCAACGTAACGGATGCTCAGAAAGTATCAGACATGCGCAAGGAGACCGCAGGGAAGCCCAGCATGCAGGCCAGGAGCAGCACCTGAGGGATGCTGGAGCACAGACTGGGTGGGGTTGGAGGGGTCACACACCTTCCTCCCTTCCACGTTGCTCTCGCTGCCTGTGTAGGCCAGCTTCCGGCGCACATAGAAAAGCATGTCGTCTTGCCGGGGGGCCCATTTCTCCATGAAGTAGGTGGAGAACATCCACGTCCAGAAGACGATGCGGTCATCCTTGAAGCACCCTGCGGAAGGAGGCCGGACAGGAGTGAGAAAGGATGGCCACCCTGGCCCTTGCTGTGTAACCATGGCCAAGCCCTGCCCATCCCCTGCATTTCTGGTCAGAAATCTGACAGGGCTGAGACACTTGGCCCCTTCTTCCTCAGTGCCCCCACCCCACCCACAGGGCATCAGGAGAGGCTGGGGGTTGCCCCTAAGGAGAGCCAATTCCTCCATCCAGCAGCAGGCTGAGAGCCGGAAGTGGCTACACTGCAGAGCCGACTCCAGTCTGTGAGTGAATCAGCAGCTTCAGCTCTGGTAGAAAAGGAAAACCTAACAGACAGAAGGAGAAACGTCACCGGCTGGCTGTCTGGGCTGGGAGCTGAGAGCTGGAGGCTTTGCAGGGAGATCTCCCCACCCCCACCCACTCCCCCCTCCCCAAGGCTGCAGCAATTCCCTGGGAGAATCCAACTTAAAGGGACAGAGAGAGCCCTTCACCAGCCAGTCTCAGCAGCAAGTGTCAAGGCAGGAACCACTGGAGACAGAGCTGCAGGGCCCTGACAGCACGCCAGACTGACTCCCTTTTGGTTCTCACACAGACGTTTTATTGCAAATAAAATATTTGTAATCTTTTCCTGAACAAAAAGGAAAAAAAAGCCCACAGGTTTTATTAGGAACAATCTGGGTTTCCATCCCAACTCTGCCACTTTTATTATATGACATTGGACAGGAGGCTCAGTCTCTCTGAGCCACAGGTTGCTTTTGGATAGATGCAGATTAACTGGCACCACAGTTGGAAGAGCCCATGCCTGGCACACAGCAGGGTCAGCAAAGGGCTTCCTCCCTTCTAGACAGATCCACAATTTCAACATATTAAGCTGCCCCTCTCCCCCATTTCCCATTCGCCTTTCAGAGCTAGTCCTGGCACTTTGCTGCTGGGAAGACCTCGTTCCTACACTCAGACATGGGGAGGCTGAGGGCCAGCCAGGTTTGGGACCCTCCCTCATCCTCACCGGACGTCAGTGGCCGACCAGGAATGGACCAGGTCCTTTCCTGGGGGGTCAGTAATTGGGCTGAGTGGCAAGCAGAAAGCCCCAGCCATACCACTGACCAAAGAACCAAAGTTTGAAGCCAGCCCCTGCCCACAGCCCTCTGATCTCTGCTGGCAGTCTGGGGTCCACACAATGAACCCCAGACATAGGGGCAGCGGGTGGGAGGAAAAGAGGGTATTTCCTTGGTCAACAAGCCCTGTCAGCCTCAGGTGAAGGTGGGGAGTGCCTGTAGCACTGACAGCCACCCCAGGCTCACCTCCTGTCCATTGAGTGCCAGGTGGGACCCCACACTGTCACCGCATTACTTGGGAATTTCTGCCACATTTTCACAGCAGGCAACGCCCAACTCGTGCTACTACCTCCCTGCGAAGTTAGTTCCTGGATAAAACTGCCTGAGTCTGTTAAAACTGTTTCACTTTTAACTCCCTTTTACAGCCCCACAGAAAGCCCATTAAGACTAAACCCCCAAAGGCAGCTGAACCAAATGCTTCCTGGTCCCCCAGCTGCTACAGAAGCAACTCTGGCCTATCAAGCAGGGGGCCATGACTCAATCCCGCCCCTGCTACAGCGTGGCAGGGTTTTACCACGAGTCACTCCAAGGGACACGCTGCCCTTCCTCATGGCGTCTCTTTTTAATCTGCAATAAAAGCCACCTGAGGGGGATGCAGGGATAGTTCAGTGGTAAAGCGTGTGCTCAGCAGACACAAAGCCCTGGGTTCCATTCCCAGCACGCGCGTGCGTACACACACGCGCACACACACACACACACACACACACACACACACACACACACACGTGGTTTCTAGGGCACCCAGGCAAAGGTGATATTAGCAAGAACAATGGTGATAATGACAATGCTATTAGCTATGACTTGTCAAGGCAAAGAGCTCAACACACATTTCTGCAGTCACTCTATTATCACTGCCCCATTTCACAGAAGAATCTGTCCAGAGGCTAAAGAATGTGTCCAGGTTCACAGAGCTGGAAACCAATGTGACAGAAGCAGGCCTTGGAAAACCCCTGTGCTCAGCCACCTGCATCAGGAAGGAAACAGATGACAAATGCTCACTCTGCAGGCAGCCAGCAGGCCCAGGAGGCAAGAAGCTGGAGGGCATGAGGCTAGGAGTTGGAAATGGCTCTCCACCGTTCCCACGCCTGGCACATCCAGTCCCACCCTGTTCTACACTCCTCGAAGCTCAAGAGCCCAGCCTGCCAGTGTGGGCTCCAACAGGACAGCTCAGCACATATAGGACTCCTGGGGCAGGAACTTATCCCCTGCCCATCAGGGCCATGCCCTCAGGGTCAACAGCCATCTGTGCAGTGTGCCAGACCCCATGCTGGTCCCACCCAAACGGGTTCCAACAGCATGTCACAGTGCAGCTGTGTGACTGTCAGAAAACCCAACAGGTGCCACCCATTGCCACCAGCCTCCAAACTAGCACCATCTGCACTACCAGCCTCTGACCTCCACTTCTACCCAATGGCCCACACTACATACCACAGCTGGAAGGGCTTTATTTAAAAAGATCCTTTTCTGAGTCAGGTGTGGGAGTGCATACCTGCAATCCCAGCAATAGGGAGGCAGAGGCAGGAGGACCTCAAGTTTGAGGCCAGCCTGGGCTACATAGCAAAAGGCTATCTCAAAAAAAAAAAAAGTACTAATCCTTTCCTGCCCCTTCCCTTGGGCCTTCAGAATAAAATCCAAAGTCTTTATCCAGTGCTCCATGACAGATCCCTCACAGCAACCTGGCCCACTGGCCACCTGCTCATGACACTAGGTACGCTCCTGTCCCCAGGGCCTATGCATGGCCCCTTCCACCTATAGTTTCCTCTCAGGATCTCAGCATAGGTGCAAGCTCCTCCCATTGTCTCTTGGAGGGCCTTCCCTGATGCTGTGTGAAACTGTGACCTCAGGAACCACACTCTCCCTCCATCATTTCACTGCCATCAGAGCCTTATCACCATCTGGCATGTTCACACACGGGTACTGACTGTCTCCTACTACACAAAGGTGTCACTGGACACCTTGTAGCCAGGGCCAGGGGGTCTGGTTTGTTATTAGATTCCACTGCCCCCATATCAGTACCAGACACACAGCAGGCAGGCACTCAATAAATGCATGTTGAATAACTGGGTCACCCCAACAAAACAGGAAACAAGACTCCCGGCGAGGAAGGAACCAGCCAGGACTGACCATCACCTGGGCTCACCCTGGTGGAGCGTAGCTCAGGCTGCCATCCTCCCCTGGCCTCAGGATCTCCAGTGGTAAGTTTCCAGGGACGCCCCAATCTGTACCTGAGCCTGGGCTGGGCCCACCCGCTTAGTTCTCCCTCATTCACAGCAGAAAACTACCTTGGCTGTGAGGAGTTGCAGTGCCTGGAATGTGCAGGGGGGACAAGTCCCACTGCCCATCAAGTCCCCATCCTTCCCAACCCCCTGCTGCCAGCCTGTGGCAGATACATGCAAGTTAGGAAAGCTAGCACCAACAAGCTCTGAGAGAGACAAGGCTTAAGACTGGCTATAAGCAATGCAAAACCACACAGATATCATCAGTACTATTCCAGTACCACGAGGGCAGACCCAGCAGGGAGGAACCTGCAGTCCATCAGGGAAAAACCTCTCTCACTCTAACACAAGCGAAGGCCCTGCGTGAAGAGGGAGAGAGGCACACAGCAGGCAGGAAGCAGCATCAGAACACCTCCCACAGGGGCTGAGGCACTGATGGGATGGACGACACATTCCTGGGACACTAGATACCAGGGAATCACAAAGAAAGTGGCCAGGAGATGGCCCCTCAAAAAACATTCAAAATTCCCCTCATGCTCGAGAAGCCCAACCAAAATTAAAGAGAGCAGAAGAAACCAGGAGAGAAATCCACACAGACAACGGAGGCCAATACAGCAAGGCGTCACATCATAGAAGCTACGAAAGAAATGCTCAAGACCCAACAGAGAAATAGCTAAGACAGCAAAGCAGGCAATACACCAGAAAGGAAACCAACTGGTTCACAAAATGAGAGTAAGTATTAGTTCCACTAGTAACTCATATTATAGGACCAAGTTGTCACTTTTAAGAGGTCAAATTTGCTCTTTAAAAAAATACCACTTAGGTAGGCTCAGGTGTGGTGGCACATACCTGTAATTCCAGCTACTTGGGAGACTGATATAGGGAGGATCGAGGTTTAAGGCCAGCCAGGGCAAATAATTTTTAAGACCCTATCTCCAAAATAATCAGAACAAATTGGACTGGAGGTGTGGCATGCAGTAGAGTACCTGCTTTGCAAGCACGAAGCCCTGAGTTCAACCCCAGTCTCATCAAAAAAAAAAAAAAAAAAAGTTAGTTCCAGCCCATGACAAGGGAGTACTGGGCTAGGACCCTCATATCTAAGAGAACAAAAATCATCACAACTTTGTGGAAAGCAAGTGAATGTTTTTCCACTTCTCTGAATCTACCTTATTGAAGAAAAACACAAAACAAAAGCCACTTCCTGCGGTGCCAATACCGTGATGTAGAGGGCAGGGCAACACGAGGTTGATGAGGCTGTGAGGTCAGACCATGTGAGTCCAGGTCCTAACAGCTCCTCTCACCTGCCCCCCTCCAGAATCAATGTGAGGACTGGGGGGAGAGAGCCACTGAGAAAGTCCATCCACCTGAAGGTCAGTGAGGACCCTCTGCTCTGCTGCTTTGCATGTCTCTGTGGCCTGTTAGGAAGAGGTCAATGGATCCCAACCCCCCAGTGTTCTTGTGTGAATGAACACACAAGGGACAACTGACTCCTCATGGGGCCTGAGAAATCACCGTGGTCTTTCTCCCACAGGCAAACCTCTCCTCCTTTCCTTTCCCAAGACCTGGCCGGCCAGAGCTCCCCTAGGTCTCTCTCTGCACTCCAGCAGAGAGCATTCCAGTTTGCAGAACCTGCTCTCTTCCTGCTTCCAGCCCTTGAGTCCAGGGGACAGACTCAGGGAACAGATGCA